CCCCTCCTCCCCCTCACTCCCCTCCTCATCCTCCTCCCCTGTTCCCTTCTCCTCTTCCCCTCCTCCTCCCTCTTCCTCCCCTTCCTTTCTTCTTCCTCCTCCTCCCCCTCCCCTTTCCCTCCTCTCCATCCTCCTCCCCTCCCCCTCGCCCTCCTCCCCTCCTCTCCCCCTCGTCCTCCTCCCCCTCCTCCCCCCCGCGCGTTGCATTATGATATTTCCCATAATGCACCGCGCTTACACCGACGCCGACGACGACGCCGACGCCGCTCAAGCTGGAAACGGGCGCCTAAGAGCTGCGCTCTAAAAAGCGAAAAGAAATTCGTCTAATATGAAACATAGGGCACTATGGAATTTTAAAAGTTATACAGTAGTTCGGGGCATTTGGAAAGGAATCGTGGTGCCAGGTTTGTCCTTCGGTAGTGCGGTGCTGTGCATGCGACCAGAGGTTCAGACAAGCTTGGAGGTCAGACAGAGAGGTGTAGGCAAGTTGGCACTGGGTGCGCATGGGAACACGCCAAATGAAGTTGTACAAGGGGACATGGGAGTAGAGAGTAGAGAGGCTATCAGCAAATTAGAATTCGATCAAATGCTAACAAAAATGGAGGACACACGATGGCCGTACAAAAATGTCAGATCGGAGCGGTTCCAGTTCGAAACCGCCCGGAGCCGCGCGGTTCTAAACTTGTGTACAGTTGAGATCCGCGCGGATCTGATCTGTTACCGCGCGGTTTTGGGTATAACCAGTCGGATCCACTGAGACGCAACGCACTGGAACCGCACGGTGATGGGTGGATCCGATGCGTTCTCCTTGGTTCCAGATAGGGTTTGCTCCCAGCCAGCGGATGCGCACATCTGTGTCTGATGGAAGACGGGGGGGGGGGGGGGGGGGGGGGGGGACTTCCGTCGACCCCCCCCCCCCCCCCCCAATCCTCCTCCAGTCACGCATATGTGCGAGGTCGTCGCGATTTCAGACCCGGGTGCACCGCCTGGGTCTGAAATTGGGGCACCGATTGGTACCGCGCGGTACCAGTGGCTCTGCAGAACCACTGGAACCAGCCGGTTCCGCCTGGACCTGAAATTGGGGCACTGGTTTGCGTCCCGCCTGGGACTGGGTGGTTCAAGGCGCTATACAAACTGGTGCCCCAATTTTTGATCCAGGAAAACCGGCATTTTTCATTCCGGCCTGTATCTGAAATTTTCGTACGGGTGGGCGAGGAAGGTGTACAGGTATTTATATATGAAGAGTTTAAATACAAAATGGACGAACCGAACGAGCTATAATTTAAATATCTGCTGACTAGGGAGGATATTGCGCGGAACAGAACGGTAGAAAAGGGAGTAAATGAAGCCAAAAGGAAAATGTGGAGGGAATGGATGCAAGGAAAATCAGCTTTAAAGGTAAACATAAGCAGGAAATAAGAATAGAAGAGGTTTTTGATAATCACGGGGTAGTTCACTACTATTTCAGACTAGAACGGGGGTTCTAAGAACCAAAACCGTACAGGGCTAAATTCGAGTAAATGGACACATTATGTGGCATATGCCAAAATGAGAACGAAACGATGGAGCATCTGGTTTTAGAATGTACGGGGCTTCGTCCTGTTTCCCCGGAGGGGTCAGTGGATTTGGCGGGAGCGCTCGGGTTTGCGGACGAGGATGGAAGAATGGAGGAAAATATTTCTACGATCACAAAGACGAGATTGGAAAACTGGTTGATACAGTCTAGAGAAAATGAAACAAGGACGAACAATTAGCACAGCTGGGGGACAGGAGGGACAGAGGAATACTGGGACACCCTCCCGCGTGGCTCCGGCCCAAAGTCTCACATCTGTCCTCCAGTGGGTCTGGTTCAAGGAGGAACACCGACGAGGTTGACCAGAGGAAAATTGGCAGCCCCCTCGCCCGGGGGAGGAAGCGGAGGGCGTTGTTTATTTATTTTTTATTAATGCCAAAGCAATAACTGTCTCGTGGAGCGAGCTGACGTCATCAGTTTGAAACGCGAAAACGGCTCCTGGTTTCCGCGATCCCAAAGGAGCGAATCGCCTTTGGTTCCATTGGCTGGCGCGTGTCGACGGCGCTCCCATTGGCCGCTGCGCCATGGCCTTCAAGATTTTGAAGCGCGCGTGCGCTAGTACGCAGCAGACGACAAAGGGAACGGACGAGCGACTTGCATGCTTTCGCATTCACAACTCATAAAAAATGCTTAGGTGTACCTTGAGCTTTTTTTTTCTTTTTTTTTTTTAAGTTCTCCACCTGCCCGGTGATAGTTGCAGGGGGGTAAAGTGAGAAGAATATTTAGTATAAGACAGAAAAAAAGGTCAATTTTTTTAATTGAATAATTAAAGGCTAAGTGACGCAAACTACCGCCCGGTATAACGAAAACAGCCAATATTTATTTATCCATTGAGCCAACACTCGAAACCGAAACCGAAATTGTTTAAAATTTCCAGATTGAATTGTGTGGAAGTGTGCTTTCGTGTATCCATGGTCCTCTATGAGGCACGTGGTGATTCCATCTGTCCACAATCCGCGTGGGGACAAAGCAAACACACTAGCGGCACAGAAAATGGGCAAGGGTATAGAGCACGAGCCCTTAGCACCCTTAGCAGTTCATTCTAGTGCACGATCCCATGGCTTCGGCCTCGCGTGCGTAGCTTTCGTTTTGCTCCAAGTAGGTAAAAAGCTGATCTTTCACCCTTGCTCCAAAAGTCTGCGACATGCGTGTCAAGGCGGACACCCAACACTTGATCTGGAAATGTCGGAAACATCAAGGCATAAGAATAAAATATATACCCCAAGACGTGGACTCTCGTGAAGACTGGAGTCACCCTCCTGGGAAGGAAGACAAACAACGAAAGATTCTATGAAGCCTCCAAAGTAGATTCCATGTGCCCTCCCCAATCTCACTCCTTCTTTTTTTTCGCTAATAAATTGCATTTTAAATCTAATCTAATCTAATCCAAGTAAGTGTAAAATAAAGCGTAGTTCTGCTTTTGGAATATTTCCAGAGCACAAAATGTTTCCAAAACTTTTTAAACTTTCGTTGTAACCTCCTGGCAATAACAGCTAAAATGCAAAATAAGTTTTAATTCCAAATAGTATTGACCCCGTAAGTGATGACGTCACAACATGGCGTCTGGGTCCAAACAAACCGTTGCTAGGGACGTTGCTATGGACTAATGCATGGAGACTCCACACGAGGCAGAATTTTCGCTTACAAGTTAGTAAATAATTTTTTGTAAGCAACCTAACTTCTTGATATCTAATTATGAAAATGTTATTGTCACCTCAGCATCGTATTTCAACAATAAAAGCCATTTCTGAAGTATTCCACTCCGCTTTGCTTTGGTAGCAGACGACACGAGACTTGCCGGCTTCTGTTGCAGCGGGCGTCTTCATTGAATTGCGTCGGTAAACGAGCAACCCAAGCAAGTGCATAGCCATGGCCGCAGAGGCCTCCGCAATGTGCATTTTTTTCTGTGAAGAACCCAGCTTAGTTCAGAGGAGCGAAAATTCCGTAAAATCAAACCACGTCAGGCAGATCAGTTACGACGACGACCTGAAGTGCATTACCGGCGTAGTGCAGGCCAGCATGAGAAACAAATCGTACGCCGTCGAGGAAAGTCGCTTGTTAACATTATTATTATTGGGGTTGTCAGGTCATTAAAAAATTGCATGTCTATCGCAATTTCGCTTTCTTTTTTTTTTTTCTTGTATACATTAAATTTAGTGGATGTGTTCTGTCAATGAAGATCTCCATCGAACCCACGATGAGAGTACAATCTGTAATAACTCACCTTATGTTTTTTATCCAGTTCTTTCGCGTTTTGGGGTTTTGCGGAAATCTGAAGAAACTGCAAGAATCTTTCTCCACACGATGGTTACAACCAGATACGAAGCACCGTCCCATAGCGCGAGTCCGCAAACAAAATTTATAATCTACCGATCGCCTGAACTGCTTTTCTCACGGCTGCATTGCGATCTTTTAGCAGTCGATCATCTCGATCGACGCCCGGACTTTCGATACACCATATTTTGCATCGCACCCCACTATGAATTCTTATAAGTATCTGAAGCTCATTATATTTCAAAGAAATGCAATATCAGAATATCGTCTTTATTCACCCGATCCAGACGCCGGCGCCGGCGTTTTTCTTGCATTCGTCGTCTGCTGCAGGCATCTTGAGGACCGAAAGTTGCAGTCGTAAATATTTCAGAAACAAGCGATTACCGGCACCACTTCTGTCAAGACATATATGATATTCAAACTTTCCATATCTGTGATTTTTAGAAGTTTAAATCCTACTCCCGATTTTTGAACGGTCGGGTTTTCGTAGCGGCCGCGGTTCGAGTTCGACCAGGTTCGACTTTTTCGACCTTTCAGTGGAAAGTTCGTCGAACCTTGTATTGAGGTTCGACTCGTGCGCGCATGCGCGACAGGCTGGCCAGTTGGCTTCGGATTGGATGGTAATGGCTAAGAGATGAATTAAGTGCAGCGCTGATCGGCTATTTCAGTCAATACAGTACTAAAATTTAAGTTATTAACTTCTTCAGTGAATAGAATTAGTTTCTTTTAATTGCAGTTGTTCACACAATAAAATAGCCCTTTGCATAAAAAAAGAAATTCTCCAAACCTAGACATGCTTGTATCAAGGTCTGGCCACACTGTCCACAAAGTCGAACCGGTCGAATCTGGTGAAAAGTTCGAAGGTTCGTCGACCGGTTCGACCCAGTCGAACCCCGAAAGTTCGACCAAAAAATCTGGTTCGACAAAAGTTCGCGACACCCCTACACATGTATTTGTCCAAAACAACGACCCTAGCAACGGTTTCTTTGAACCCATGACGTCACACTTACGGAGTCAATTATAATTTTATTGTATTTTTTTATATTGTATGAATAGTTTTGGGCATTGTTAACGAGGTAGGGCGTTATTTATAAATAAAATTGCAAAAATTTCCGTCGCCAAACTCGAAATTTAATAACCACATACGTTTGCTAGCGCCCTCTAGCTCGCTGCATGCGTGTACTTCGTAAAAAACGTTCCAACAGTCCTTTTTCGTTTAGGCGGCTCACGTTTACGTGAATGACAGAAGATGAAGGTAAGAAAATTTGCAAAGTTCGTGGTTAAACATGCAAATATTTAAGAAAATATGCTGTTTTCTCGAGCCCTGATACATTACCGATGAATATGACCGGCATTGCGCGTGTGAATAGTTTACTATTATTTGCGATGGATCGGATTGCCGGCGGCGGGCGGCCCTCAGGCCAGCTCTTCCGTACTGCCGTGCTTCGAGTGCGAGCTGCAACTCTTGTGATGTGTTTCCCTTTTTCTCTCTTCAGCTGAACATTTCGTATCCGGCGACTGGGTGCCAGAAACTCATCGAAGTTGACGATGAGAAGAAAGTGCGCATTTTCTACGAAAAGCGCATGGGACAAGAAGTCGAGGCCGACTCCCTCGGCGACGAATGGAAGGTAAGCCAAATGTCCGTAGCGTGCTCTCGGTGTTGAGGATCGTGTGTTAAGTAGTCAACTGTAAAGAAAAATGCCAGCGTTATTCTATAGTTCAGGGCGAACCCTCGAAATCAGTGAAAGAGCCGACCAGAGCGCTGTTTCGGTGCCAATCCCGCAAAATGTATCATAGTCTAAGTCCAAAGCCCCTCTACTGATTTTGCGTCCACCGTCATTTCGCAACAGCGCATATTCTGAATCTTGCCATATGTACTTAGAATAGCAATACAGTATTTTTTTTTTTTTTTCAGTTTTAAGTTGATTTTGCTGCTATCTTGGGCACGCACTTTGAAGCTGAGCATTGCCCTACTAACGTGACAACTGGGGCCCTATGTTGCGCGTTTTGGACTCCCATGGCGACTTGGGAGAAGGAAGTGACGTCAACAACGCAGCAAACGCAGATTGGATGTTGAGTCGTTGATCAAGAATTTCCGCAGAAGAGACGTCCAATCTGCATTTGCTGCGTTGTCGTCACTTCCTTCTCCCTAGTCGCCTTCAGAGTCCAGAAAGCGCAACATAGGGCCCCTGGGCAGATGGCATGTTCAGTGTCTTTTTTTAAATTTTTTTTAGGATTTGTTTTTGGTTAGTTTGCCTGTCTATTTTTCCCGTTGATTTTAATTTAGGTTGAGAGCTTGGGCATATGCACTAAAATAAGAGTAAAACTATACGCACGAGCTCTTGCAACTGTACCGGAAATGGCTATACACATGACGCGCAGAGCTCGCTACCCAGCAGTGGACACCGGCAGTCGATATTGGCGAGCCCGTGCATGTGCGTGTGGTGCCGGCACTACTACACATGGACGCGTCAACTATGACAGTGGACCTCGAGTGTGCGTGAGGTGCCAGCGCCATGTCAGTGCAAAGTTTAACAGCTTCGTGCTTATAGGAAAAAATATATTGTAGGAAACAGGCCGTGCGCACCGGTGCTCTTCACACGAATGAACACCAAACCGGCGTCAGATCAAAATCCTTGTCCTTCGGTGCTCCGTGGGTCGGATCTTTTACAGATTTTCCCGGGTGATGTTCCGTCGAGCGCGCTGCGGCGTGCTTGTTGGCTGCAGAGATACCGAAGGCATGAGCGCGTGGTTTCCAAAAGCGGTTTCTGTGCATGATAGCTCGTGCAAAGCATGCAGCCTTTGCAGTTATACTCTCGTGCGCATGCCTTAATTGCCATTTTAGAAGTATTGTTTAGTTTGACATGAATATCCTCAGCCTGAATAGCAATTCTGATGGACTGACCGGCTCTGAGTCACGCGGTCTGTGTGTGGAAATTTAGATAAACATGTTGACATACTTGTTAAGAAAATGAAGAAGCATGACACAAAAAGATCTAAACGGGCGCGCAAGAAGTAGCACGCACGTTTCGAACTTAAGGACGATCGTGCATGCTCTCCAAATGCTGTCATTGGTTGGAGCAGCTTAATTTATACTCGGCGTCAACATCTTTGTACCAAGATCCCCTCCCTCCAAAATCGGCAGTGGCATACGGCCATATGTCTGAGCGCAATCAAACCTACAAGCACAAGCACGTTGCCCTGAACGACACGTGCACTGTGCGAGAGCGCTTGTAGAAATCACAGAGCTCGCTCTTGTAGCTTCATCACTGCTCGCAGTTAAAGGGAAGATGGGGCACTTCTACATTTGAGAAAAAGGCTTGAATTGCATTCATTTGGCCTTTAGAATAGCAGATATCACAATTATATTTCAATGCGACGCGCCGGAGAGCAATAAGAGCAATTTGAAAAAAGGCCTGAAGCCCCGCCTCCCTAGCCTTGGCAAGCCAAAAGATCCGTCGATGACGTCACGGACAGCGACAGTCTTTCGCGTTTTTCTCGCGGTAAATGGTTTTGGTATTCGGGTTCACGAGGTAAAAATGCACTAGAATTCACTTCTAACTCATTTTTTTCAAGAAGCTCCGTAGCTTCCCTTTAAAGTGAAACGGAGTACAGCCACGCACCGCTCGGCCTGTAGCCTTACCAGCATGACGCAAGAGTTGACGTCAAGTATAGTTCTGCGTCCGTCGGCGATCAAGTACAAGTGCATGACAAAGTTGGCTGCAAAGAGCGTGTTATCGTTTCGTGCGACTAAACCTTAGTATTAAAATCCGCCGCTAGATGGCGCAGGCTCTCAAAATCGATTCAGTCGGGACCACCGCTAGGTAGCCCATGTGGGGCAACATGGGACATCCCACTCAAGGGGTGTCCCGCTCGCCCATTGGGGGGTGCTGACTTGATGCAGATTACGGCAAATAATTCTAAAGGCACAGCGTGGCAATCCTAGTTTGCTTGATGGTGACATTGTTGATAAACTTTCAGCTTTGTTTTTTTGTTTTCCATCGATAAGGCTATGACATTTGCAAAAAGCGTTAAACAGCCTCCCGCATTCGGCGGCTTCAGATAGAGCGGGCAGGACGCCCCTTTGCAGCTCCGAGTGCATGGAGTGAAAGCTCGCCTCGCAGAACCTAAGGCTAGTTCCTAGTTTCATTCTGGATGGGCATTATCCTAGCTTGCATTTGCATAATTAGTACCGTGTGACTGTTATGACCCAGGCTGGGAGCTGTGCCCATCTACAGCAGACACACCACATGCCATCTTATGGCAGACAAAGTTCCCGCTGCCTAAACCTTCATGCAACAAATTAGGTTTACGCCGAAGAAATGAGCCTGTTGTAAAATTTCCAGCACTGTCCATGGTGCCGAAAGTAATGGTGGGAACTGTAGCCACAGGTCCAGTTGTAGCAGGCAACTGAGGATATGCTGTCAAGGGTAGGCGATCAACCACGCTAGCCCTCCCTCTTTCTTGCCAGGGCAAGGTGCAGGGCATTGTGTGCAGCCTTTAGGGATTTCTGTCAAAGGTCTATTGTGTTTGTAGCCACAGCAGTATGATTATGTATATGCTAAGAGATTCATCGTAGTACCATTAGCTCAGACACCATATGACAAGCAGTCAGTTGCTCCACTTTTGCCCACCTGAATATGGGGATTCCAGAGTTCACTCTGAGCGGCCACTGTAGAAATGCTTTCGTGGCACAAATGGGACTAAACACTTCGGTCTGACAGTTAGGCAAGCGGCCACTTGGCAAAACCCTTGGAAATGCCCTACGGCAGATCTAAAGTGGCATTTATTTGTGAAAATCAGAATATCCGCTGAAAGACGTAACAAGTTTCCGGCTCTTGCGATTAAACCTCCTTCCTCGCCGCAGGGCTACGTGGTGCGCATCTCGGGCGGCAATGACAAGCAGGGCTTCCCCATGAAGCAGGGAGTGCTGACGGCCGGCCGGGTGCGCCTGCTGCTTTCCAAGGGCCACTCATGCTACCGGCCCCGGCGCACGGGCGAGCGCAAGCGCAAGTCTGTGCGCGGCTGCATCGTGGACTCGAACCTGAGCGTCATCAGCTTAGTGGTGAAAAAGAAGGGCGAGCAGGAGATTCCCGGCCTGACTGACACGACCCTGCCGCGCCGACTGGGGCCCAAGCGGGCTAGCAAGATCCGCAAGCTGTACAACCTGTCCAAGGAGGACGACGTGCGCCAGTATGTGGTGCGCCGCCCCCTGGCCCAGAAGGAGGGCAAGAAGCCCAGATCCAAGGCCCCCAAGATCCAGCGACTTATCACGCCCTCTATGCTGCAGCACAAGCGCCACCGCGTTGCCCTCAAGAAGAGGCGCACCATCAAGCGCAAGGAGGAGGCGGCAGACTACGCCCGCCTGCTGGCACAGAGGGCCAAGGAGGCCAAGGAGAAGAGGCAGGACAAGATCAGGAGGCGCCGCTCGGCCTCGCAGGGACAGAGCCAGTCGTCGGGACCGGCTACGAAGTAGATGTCCCCAAATAAAGCCTAAGTCTGTTCAGCAGCCTGCTCTCTTCCTACGGGTTTTGCCACCACCCGGTTGCAAAAGTGGCCTTCGTTCGCTTTCAGCATGGAGGTAGGAAGCTTTTGGAGGCAACATGACGCTGTGGAGGGACACGCTCCCTGTGATGACCAAAACCAGGAGACACTATTGGACGAAAAGCAGAGCTGACTTGGCACCAACAGCTGCTTTGGTCACCCTCTGTGGCGGAACACGCGCCCAACTAAATCATATCAGTCTAAAAGATTAACTTGTGTGCTCTCTAAGCAAGTAGCTTTATTTTTTCTGATCCCTTCCAGGTAGGTCTAGATTGTTCCTACTTGCAAATTCTGGGAACAATCCAATCATTCTTTTCAAAATGTACAATTTTTTTTTTTTTTTTTTTTTTTAAAGATGGCATTACACTTAGTTTTGGGACGGCGCTGGGAAAGTTCAAGAACTAGGCGCTGACAGTCAGAACAGCAGGACACGTATCCAATTACTTGCCTTTGGTGTGAATTCTGTGCCTTGGCTATGTATGCATGCACTAGGTGTTTAAGAATGCCAAAAGTCGAAGGCAGGACAGTTAAAGCTCCTACCCCTCCTTGCTGTTCACATTGATAGACGTGCTGTGCTGCGAAGTTCTACAGAACAAACGCGTGACCAAAATTGAAAGGAAAAGGAGTTTACATTGAGATGAGAAACGCAACAAACACGAATGGGTGCAGTTTGTTGTGTTTCTCCTCATCTCAATGTAAACTCATCCTTTTCCTTTCAATTTTGGTCATGCGTTTGTTCTGTAGAACTTCGCAGCGCAGCACGTCTATCAATGTACAACCAACTAGCCCTAATCCAAGCTTTATTAATGCTGTTCACACCTTGCTGCTGCCTCCTGTTTACATCTGGTATCAGTAAAGTGAAAACAATGCTATAAACAGCTTGGTAAGTGTAGCTACAATCTAGCTTCATTGCCAGAGTTCTGCTATCACATTCTACCAGACACTTGAACTTGTAATTCTCATATTGGTAGATAGGAGCGTGTATAGAACAAGGAACGTGGTGTATTGATGGCGTGATTGAATTTTGGAGTTTTTGTTGCCTGGCATTTCTTACAGAATGGTGGCAAGTAATGGGCCTTTAAGAGTAGAGTAGCAAACACTGAACTTCATAAATCCTAAAAATTAGCCCTCATCCTTTTTAAAAATATTTTTTGTCCAACAGAGGCTGATGTAACACCGCGATTAATTATTGCTTTATTTCTAGACTTGTTTCACATTATAGAGGGGGGTTTGAATAGCAAAATAAGACTCGAGGTGAATGCCATAAGCAACCACTTCGCCATGGTATTCTAAAAGATTATTCACCCTTCATAAAGTGCAAATACCATGCAAAAAGAATCAAATTGGCCTTTACTGTGCAAAACAAAAAATTGGTATGTGCCTTTCTAGGCTATCTTTTAGGGGCAGAATAACGGGATACTACTGCAGTGCAGCGACTGCAAAGAATAACAAATGCTTGATTACAGTCACGGTGCTAACTAGCTGCGACATATCATCCTTTTGATTGAAACTTTTCGATTGACATTTACTCATGCCTGAAGGAAAACCTGGAACCTTCAGCTAACATCTCTCCGAGAGAGTTTGTTCAGGGTGAAACGCTGGAAATGGGAGGTTTCTATCAACTTATTCCTACCAGCTTTGACTGCCCTCACATTTTGCTTGGACATTCCTTCATGCTGTCCCAAGCAGGACAGGATAGGACAAGCTCGAAACTTGGAAGTAGGGAATAATGCTATCACGAGAGCTCACGTCCCAGCACAGAAGTTGTTCGATAGCCTCTTGTACAGAATGGGAAATGCCAAGAGTTTGTAAGTACAGCCAACTTGTGATGTCACAACAGGTTAGTTGCATGTAAAAGTGGCCGACTTACAGCTGCCCATAAATTGATTGGTTTTGGCAACACCACCTTCAGCATAATAGTCTGGCTACTCAAGATTTCTGTAAAGAGGAACACCGGTCCAAGCTTTTGTCAAACTCACGCGCTTTCTCAGTGAAAGACATCCATAGGGATAAGAGCCTAGCCAGCACATGGACTCTCAAACTGTCGCTAGGCCAAGGTCTCCTTGACCGCCGTAATCACACCCTTGGGACACGGCAAAGAGGGTGAAAACCAGACATGAAACAGATGCACATCGTTCCATGGCACCTGGGCACATTTCTGTTCCACGACAGCACTGGAGAGCTTTGCATGCACTGAATCATACTATTGCAAGGACCAACCTTCTAAAACAACAGATCTAGTTTGTTGACCACACATCTGCAGTCAACGAAGCACCTGTAAACATACTTTGCCATGGCACATGACCATGAACGGTAGAGTATGCTCCTATGCCTTATAGTGCGACTTCTGGCAAAAGTATCTAGGCAGCATGAAGTCTGCACTTTGCTCCAAAAGGTATCTGGGGACTACCTATTAGGAACTCAATAGCCCATTAAATAAATATGGTTATAAAATATGCTAAGCAAACAAAATCCCTCATATCACCTCACCAGTTCACAGCCATAGTGTGAGGGACCTGTTGAATGTTAACTTATGAAGGTCATTTCGAAGACCTCAAAACCTACCGTGGACTAGGTAGGAACTTCGTCAAATTTTAATTTTATCAATGATACTGCTATCTATGCACCCTTGATGCCATCCGTTGCCCTGGTACAAAGACGGGCTCACAACACATGAACTTTGGAGTAGCATTTACAATACCCATGATATGCTGCTACAGGTCCCAAGACGTCATGTTTTGCTGCAAGACTCTTCGACTTATCTCTGCTTTTAACAGGATTCCTTGTAGCCATGACCTCAGTCACATCTAATGTCCTGAAAAGATCACAGTACATGAAAGGTTATGAAATATTATATTTATTCTCTATTCACAATTTCTCAGTATTTGAGGAGTAGGCTTCTAGAAAAGGCTGCATTATGAAAACAAGACAGTAGAAAAAAAAAAAAAGAAAAGTTGGTTCAGAACCTTGCATTTTGCCAGCAGATGCTAACTAGCAAAAGCAGCATTCAAAATTTTCAAAGTTCATTGCACTCCATTCATAAAAAGCTTCTTTCCTACTTCTGTATCCCAGCTCACACCTCAAGGCAGTGCAGGTATGAGCCGAAACTTGACAGCCTCTAGGGACCACCTTCCCTCACTCCCATTGCAGCCTGCCACAAACACTTCAGACCTTTCCACATGGCATCTTTTGTACTGAGCCTTTCAGAAAATTGTACCAACGATACAATTGACACCATTCACAAAACCATAAAAGAGGGGAAATATTTCACCAGTGCCAGCCAGGTGCCTGTAGAGCACCAACTTTCTTTGACACTGAGGGGCGAGATCACTAAAGTTGGCACACGTGGATCAGTGCGTGGTTGGCCCGATGTCAACCCATCAACATGTGGGTCGGCGCACAGTCAGCTCGACGTCGACCCAACGTCGGCGGGGGCCAAACTTTACGCGAGCCCGAACTTGAGGGCAAGAAATGAGCACAACTGCAGTTCCTATCGGGGCACGACATTGAAGGGATGCCGGCAACCTTTCACTTGGAGCGGGAGCTCGGAGGGGAGCGTGACGTGGGCAGCACGCACGACAGGTCGTGGGTGGCCTCCAGACGAGCCAGGCTGGTCTTGAAGGTGTTCACAATGAGCTGGAAGGCGGCGTAGTCGTACACCGACCGGGCCGTGTTGGTGCGGTCGAAAGGCTCTGGCCAGGACAGAAAAGAGTGCATCGTTATGTGGGTTACTCACCGCCCCGGGGGTTGGCTGGAGTCACGACTGCCGGCGAACCGGTGATACCGGCAATGGAGAGAATCGCACTGTACCTTCGATGCAGATGAACTTCCACTGCTGCCGGGTGTTCTTGGGCGACCGGTGAGCCATGGCGGCAGCCCTGGGGATGCAGTCCCCCAGCCGCACCGAGATGCAGCTGTCCGAGAAGCTGAACTGCCGGGCGTAGTAGCACAGGAAGCCGTGCAGCAGCTCCCCCAGCGACTGCTCGTTGTGGGACTTGAATGCCGGCAGCTCCTCGTACAGGTTCAGGCTCCGCACATCCTCCTCTTGGAATTTTTTCTGCGGCGGGCACACCCCGTGCTTGAGGTAGAGGGCAATGCTACCAACGCCAGGGACGTTTGGTCTTAACCTTTTGGGGTCATGTGAGTTTTCCCTTCGTTGGCCCCTCAGGTCAGAATTAGTTTATGCAAAAGTGATGCAAGCAGCAAGTGACTTCAAATTTAACGTTTTTATTTTAATATAGTGATATGTTCAATTGAAAATAACTCTGCATTCTCCTGGGTGCTTTCACTTCTTGAAATGCTAGCGGTACTTGCGCAGCGTGTGGTACTTTTCAAAGCAAGTGCCAGGGTGCAGGCCAGGTTGACGAGTGCAGGTTTTGCAGTAGAACACTGTTTCGCGCTGTTGCCCCTTGGTTTTTCTGTCGCTGCAGACGGCGCAATCCTTGCTTTTGCTTCCATCGAGTTTATAAATGAAGTGGTTCTTTCCACTGAGTCTCTCTTCGCAGTCTCCATCGGAAAAGCGCCCCCGTTTCCTTGTCTGGTTGCGGACATTTCCAACAACGTCCTTTATCAATGCCTTCCGAAACGTGAGGTGCCGCAGCGCTTGCTCGCCTTGGCTGATTTTTTCGAGGCAGAAGAGGATATAGCTGTTGACGACTCCCACTTCCAGCAACCAAAAAAAATAGCGACGGCGTTGGCGCACGTCTCCTCATCACTTTCGGTGCTGTCACCGTCACTCTCTGAGGACCCATAAGAGACTATCTCAGAGGCCTTCTTTGGATCATAGGTGTTTTCTCTGCTAAAATCACATTCACTGTCCCTTGAGTCACAAGCCTTTCCGTAAAATGTGGACGGAGTAAAGGCTGCCATGTTGAACTCGTAAAAGGGCGCGCAACATTCCCGCCCGCGCATTTCGCAAAAAAACAAAAATGTGTAGTGTCACTTGCGGCACCTTTAGGAGGGCGAAGAAACTAAGAAAGTCTAGTTTACATTCCCGATGACAGATGGCGCAAGTTGAAATTGTCGGGCCGCGCCCGACACCTGACCGCAAAGGAGAAATGGGGCTGTCGGGGGAACCCCGACATTTGACCAGAACCTGAATATTTTTTTGTAGGGGGTCACCCGACACATGACTCCAAAAGGTTAAAAATTTCAAATTTGGGGCCTTTACGTGCCAACCGATGAAAGCCATCTGGTACGCCCCAGCAGAAGACTGAGAGTTAGTTTGGACCACCGGGGGATCTTTTGACGTGACCAAGATCTCGTTTCCGCAATAAGCCTCCGTCATGCCACAGGCACCTTGGCCTGGATTTGAACCCACCACCTGGGGATACGCAGGCCGGGGCTTTGCCTCGGAACCACCGAGGCAGCTGTATGGCTGGCTCGTAGCGGTTGATCTCATCTCGGAGGTCTAAGCAAAAGGCAAAGAGATATCACTCACAGGCAGCATCTTCTGCAGGCAGGGAAGCACGACCGGACGGCAACCACCTGCATCGAACAAATCCAGCGTTGTAGGCAGAAAGCACTTGCAAACATAACAATAAAAGAAATATACCACACCACGACCCAAAGCCTTGAGAAGTCATTGGAAGGAGTATATTTAACAAAAAACAGAAAAGGTGTACCCGTGAGGCCGGAGTGGGAACAGAAACGTCGCCATAACGACACTGCCAAGATGAGCGACCATAACGACGTGCTTTCAACGCATTTTGCAGCCATGATCATCAAACGGAAGCGAATATGAAATGGCTCGAAAAAGGTTGCATTCATCTGTAGTGCAGTTGAATGTCAATGCAGTCCAAAGAAACTGGGCCAGTGCATCTACACTAATTAAATACTCCTATGCCGAAAGTAGTGGACTGCAACAACTAGACCCAAGTTTGTTGAAAGCTGTGTGGTTCTTGTTGCCCGGAATACAAAAAAGTGTTGGAGATTTGCTGCTAGAAAGAAAGACTAAAAAAAAATGAAATTAAATAATGCAAACTTCACATTTATGTTTTATCCTCTGCAACACCATCCCAGTCCCTAGAGCAAGCTTATGTTTTTGTTGACTTTACTTCACTAGCTACATTTCCCTCTTTCAGCAATGAGACGAGGTGCCATAGGTCAAACTGATCTCTGGCTTTTCAAACACCTATATAGTCGTTGGCAGGTTAAAGGGGCCCTGCAACAACTTTTTGACTGGTTTTTAATTTGCACCAATCCTGAGTGCACTGAGCGTAGTAACTTAATGAAACTTTTCTCAAATTTCGCTTTATTTTAAAAGTTGTAGGCAAATTAGAATTACAAAAACAAGAAAAAAATAACCTCCTTCATGACGTTGTAGGTCCTGGCTTGAGTGGCCGTGAACTAGAGGAGGGGTAGTGAGCTCATCGAGTGCTCACAGCTGCCGCACTTTGTGTCGACAGCTCGAGAGGGCGCCATTAAAGCACGTGTTGGATAGGCTGCATGAAGCAGGCGGCCAGGGCGGCTCACATTGCATTTGCTACACGATTAAAGACTAATTCGGCACAACACTTCATGGGCCACAAACGACAGCAAACACGGAGTAAATATCAGTTCAGAACAGGAGCCACTTCGCGCTGCCATGCCGCCAAATGGAAAATCGCCAGCCAAGCCCACACCGATAGCCTTTGAAACGCTCGGAACCGGTCGGATCCTCGAGCCGGTATACGACCGCAGCGCCGCCGTGTACATCTGGGACCTTTCTACGCTTGACATTCATCGGCACCTCATCCCACTATACTTTGTTTCAGCTTCGGTCCGAGGGCGGCCGATGTTATGAGCCGAAGGGCCAATCAAACACCACAAAAAGCGTAGCATCATGGTGTGCTCTCTGCACTTGATAAGAATAGCCGGCGGAGGAGCACGCACAGAGAGGCGGCGAATAACAACTGGTCCTATCAACTGCAGAGAGCACGCCATGAGGTTGTGCCTCTATCGCTGTTTGATTGGCCCTTCGGCTCATAACATCGGCCACGCTCGGACCGAAGCTGAAACGAAGTATAGCCCTTTCTAGTATGCGCCGTTTTTTCCGCCGCTTGGTGGCGGGTATGTCGACGGGTCATATCTTGTTTCCGTACTTTATAAACTGCATTTGTTTCTTTTCTGATCTAAAATAGTGAACAAAAACTACTTTCTTAAATAATTGAAACGGTTTGCGCCACTTATATTTTGTATTTCGACTAAAGGGAAGCTTTTAGCGGCTCGGACCAGTAGTAAGCCCAGGACCAAAGACGTCACATTTTGCGGACTTTCTGTACCGCGGGTCGCTCCCGTCGGGGGAGGAGGTTTTTGCGCCGTTCGGTTAAAATATGACGCACTGATATTTGGTTACTCTCTCCGTGCCCGCTGGCTTGCCCGAACACCGAGGGACATGGAAACTGCAAAAAAGGTAGACGCTTAAATATGATTGCAGGGCCCCTTTAAGCACCCTGCAGTAGATAGTCCGCCTCAGGCGCGAGTTTTTTACCTTTGGTAACAGTTCATCCCTCGCACGGCCGAAGCCCGGCAGAAGGCTGGAAACGGAGCTGCTACTGGGTTCTCAAACTGCTACCTTACATAGACAGGAAACATGGCCACTCACATTGGAGGTAATGTATGAGCATGAGGACCAGGGAGTAGCTGGACAGGGTCATGAATTTGGCCTGGTTGATGCCGTGGTGCTCCGCCCATGCCTTAACTGCCAGGGCCAGTGGAGCCACCCGCCAGTCCAGGCGCGAGTAGCAGTTGAGCAGCTGAGTGTTGCGGATGCCGACTGAGTTGTTGATGTTCAGATCTATCTCCACTCCGCTGAAAGGGCCGGGCAAAGAACATGCGCGGCGTTGGATGCAACCTTCTGGGTCCCGTGGCCGTCTCGCTTTCTCGAGTGACACTACACTAAGTCGGCCTGTCTACAGCGCCTTGGCGTGCAGGGCAGCACTACTCTTCGCGAGACCTTTTTCGACGAGTGCGGCGTGAGCAGCTTCATTACCCTAGTAATTTTCACTGTATGTTGCCATTTTCATGCACGGAGTGCACAAGGTTTTGGCCCAAATGGAATAATATGAGGCAAGCGTGAATGATGTACGCATGGCATGTCTCCGCATATTTTCAAGCTGACCCAGAAAATGATAGGGTGCAAAGCCTTTGGAAGTTAGATTATTACTCAGCTTTGTGTAGATGAGTGGCAGGAACCTCTAGCTCAAAGATACTCCATGGGCCATGACCTTTTTATTCAACGCTTCCTCGCAGCTGAGAATGTAATGTTAAGGACAGCAAGCGACAAAAGATGGTAATGCCTCCATTTAGTGAAACTGAATTGCATGTGTAACTTAATTCTACCATTTTTAGAGAAGCATAAAACACTTCCTATCCCTTATGTTGCCTTCGAGTATTATTGGGACGTAATGAAAAACGGATGGTGCAGCCCATGGCTTTTGACACATGCTGTACCCCCCAGAGAGTCCCTGGAACTCCTGCACTACCCAGAGGTCCTCCAGGTGGTGCAGCAGATATCAGAAGCCATGCACTCCACAGGTTATGTTTCATTAGCACCCGATAGTTCTACATAAGGGTATGGATGCACAGTGCGCTTTCCCTGATGGCTCGGCAGCTGCCCACGGTTGCTTGTTCTCTAGCAGAATCATTGCTGCGACAAAATAGTGGCTGGTGACCATATAAGAGAAAAAGTGAGCTGGAACTATTCTAAAAGCAGAGCACATGCTCGCTGAGGCATTCTAGGCCAGCCGACAAGGAATGATGTGCCACAATGATGAAGAGGAAAAAAAAAACTAACTTACGTTTTAACACGCCCAAGATTTCAAAGGTTCTAGTAGTTTCTTTCCAAACTTTTCGCACTAGCACATCAAAACGTCGCTCATATCACATTTTTGCCTAATTCTAGGCTGATGGCAGGTAAGCGTTGAGTCGAGATATCATGGCACTCACCTGCCCCTATCACTGAACTTGAGGATGGGCACCTTGGCATAGATGATCTCTGATTTCGTCACAAAGTCTGCAGGACAGAAAAACGGTAGTCCGATGTCAACTCTCAAACCCCGCTGTGACATCAGAAAACATAGCCTCTAGAAGATTAATTTTATTCTTACAAACAAACAAAAAAAATCATTCAAGTTTTTAAATTTATTGATGTATGTGTTAGAACTGCCAGCCTGAAAGCTTGTTAACATGACAAGCAGCTGCTTGCACAGTGCCCCCGTCCCAGCTTTGAGCTGTAATCACTTGTATGTAGGTTTGTGACTGGACGAGCATCTTCAGCAGAGATAGAAGTATACTACCACTGAAAATACTGGGGGAGTGCCAACCCCACTTCCACTGAAAACTGGGTTAATCTAGAAACGGGCGCTTGTCCGGTCGGATCAGGCACTTAAGGTATAATTTTTAGAAATTCCAAGTTTGGGAAATATTAATAGTGCGTGCTTCCGCGGTATTTTACGCTAGCAGGTAGCTCTGGAGCAATTTTGGGAACAGGTTTCGAACAGTCATAACTTTGCCTTGAGAGATTCTGAGAGTGGCCTACAAGCTTTGAAGGTGTTAGAAAGCAGGTTTAAGAAGATATTGTGAGCAATAAAAAATACTAGCCCGTTCAGCTAAGCAAGTAATATTAAGCATCCATATTACCTTTTGGATGCTTCATACTTTTAGAATACTCAACTGACTTTTTCTCTTTTCCCACTTTTAATCTGATAGCTTTAAGGGCAGCACTTCGCAAACATTTCAACCTTGTCTTTAGGACGCTGCTACGAAAAACCCCTCCTCTCCGCTTTTGGAGCGAGGCCAGGGAATTGGGTTTTTTCCGTCGGCCGCCCCGGAATCCCGCCAGTAACGACACTATGGAAGGAGAGTCTTCCGTGTCGTCTGTTTAAAAGCTTGTTTTCAAACATTACTTGTGTCATGCGAAATCCCATTTTGGCAGGTTGCTACACGTAATGTTGGATGTTGCACATTGTGGGCATAAAATACAACTTTGTTTTCAGTATAGCTAATGTCTCATAGGTACGTTCTCAAGTTTGTATAGAGTGATTCTATATAATAATGACTTTGGTACTGTTTTGTTCATTAGAATGATGCAGCAATGATATTTCGCTGGTTCTAAACACTAGGAGCTGTGCAAGATTTCTTTTTATTATAAATAATGAGAGAGCTTGTTTCCTATGTTATGATAGCAAATTGTTTTTCAGTACTACCTACTGTTAAAGAAACGTAAAATAGCGTCATTGCACAAAGCAGATCTTCAAAGGTGCGCTCCCGTGAAAAGATATTTTGCCATGACATTCACCGCAACCTGTAATGGAGACCTAAATCAATCTCAACAATTCCCCATAGCTCACATCTCTCAGCAAAGACATTGAATATCAGATTGCATGTATTAGATCTGCATAAACCAGGACGCCTCATAATGTGAGGGGTACTAAAAAATAATCCGCATTCTGGCTGTAGAATATATATTAGTCAAAACCTTTTCTAACCCAAGCACATAATGAATTATTCCAAAGGCAAAGCCTTGGCTCATTTGCAAATGATTTGTCACTTCATCCACTGCCACTCTTCTATCCTACAGAATCAGTTCGCAGAATGGGTCGTGAACGTGCACCCGGCCCTTGTGCAAATCACAGGTGAGGAAGCCTTTGTTTCTTGCACTTCAGTCACAACTGAACTGACCTAACACGTAACACGTTCGAATTTGCATAGCAGCGACTGGATAGACAGCAAGCTTGTACAAAGACTGCCGATAAGACAACATGGCCAGCAGGGGTTTTAAGATAACCGAAGTGCGGATAATTTCTTAATCAGCCTCGTACATCACGCTCTATACCCCTTTATAAACAGGTAAAAAGAAAACTTCTGACACCTTCGTCTCCATTTCAAATGATTTGGTACGATGGTGGAGCGTGTTACGGACAGCTTTCACCGCGACCGACACCGGGAGAGCTCTTACCGGCCTGATTCAGGCTGTTGCTCACCAGGCGCAAGACCAGGATGGCCTCATTCCTCTGGTCCACCTGAAAGCCAAATAACTGTCACCATTCAAACCAGAGGACACCTGCAACAGCAAGGGCCCGCGAGGGCCGGGCGCTTGCGGCACGCACCATGCGAGCCAGCAATACCGGATCACTTCAGTTATGGAACCCCCCCCCCAAGCACTCTACGACGGAGCGGCGTCCGAAGTTTTACGGCGGTGGCACCGTCGTTGCCGCCATTATGTTCCGTTTCACCTAAATCTGACCCCAGCAGATGGTATGAGCCGTTCCGGGCAACCCAGCCCTCTGAACGTAGAACGTGATACGCTCTCCGCGCGTCACTGCACCCGTCTCCAAGGTCACGTAACACTCACATGGCCTTGGATTGGCTACGATGGCTCATAGCCTCCGCTGCAATTGGCCGTGGGGTGAAACAGAGTATGGACTCATGCCGTCTGCTATAGCTAACGATAAGAGAGAACGACCAGACGTCTCTTTTGATCGCCACACCTTCCGCAAGCTCTCGCTGCATTTTGCTTTGCTTTGGCTGCACATGTGCGCTTGAGGCTCACGAGACGCCGCAGTGTTAAAGGACACATGCAAAGAAAAAAAAACATTTTTTTTAAACAGCTTAGATGAAAAAAGGATGTCATAAAACAATATTACAACGAAAAAAAAAAAATTTAGAGCTATATTTACGGCGCTATACGAATTCGTAGTTGGCGCCCGCTGGCGCCGCGGAAAAGTTGCCCTTATTTATCACGTGACTGGCCCTTATTCATCACATGGTGCTTGCGCTCTTTCGGAAGCTTCGTATGGCGTCTAAAAGTAACTATTTCATCTTTGCTTGAAGTATAATAAAAACTAAGATTAATAGGTAACTTTTAGAGCCCGAAGGAAACTCCAGAAAAAGCGCAAGTAGACATGATAGACCTGTGCGCCGGTCAGACCACGGCGGCGGCGCACCGAAGCAGACAAGCTTGTGCCACAACAGCGGTGTGGAGAAACGCACTGAAGCGGTGTTTGCACAACGTTCAGCGTGCGGCGGCGGCGCGCAGGCCTAACACGTGACCAGCGGCGGCTCCCACCGGCGCCAACTACAAATTCGTATAGCGCTGTAAATATAGCTCTAAAATTTTTTTTTTCTTCGTTGTAAAATTGTTTTATGACATCCTTTTTCCATCTAAGCTGTAAAAAAATGTTTTTTTCCTTTGCATGTGTCCTTTAACAAAGGCAGGAATCTCGCATTGGAGATGGCAAAACCAGAACTCCTCCTTACCGTTCCCGTCCTATCGGTAACTATAGCTCTAAGTTTGGGACGAAAACTATGTACTGCCAGCTCTGTGCTTAAAAATATGGTGAAATGCGCAAGGAGTTTACTGTGGACAATTCGGTGAAAGGACTGCAATTGCACTGTAACTGTAACGTGCATAAACGCTCCCATTCGCGACTTTAGCCTATGGGGATTCTTCAATATGTTTTGATGCTCACAGAAACGCAGAAGGAAAAGTGTTGTTAAGGGGAGATGAGAGTCGAAAAACTGCAATATTTTGCAAAAAATGTGATTTTGGGTTTTATGGTATTTTATTATACAGTATTTCCTCATTATAACGATATCATTCCTAATTATATTGCTTTTGTCCAAAATCAACGTGGTCTTGACCGAAATGCGACATTTTTAACCGGGTTATTCTAAGTGTATCGGCAACCGACCACGCTCATTACGAAGACTGCAGTGCCAAAAGTATGCAAGCCTACACAGAGGTGCACAAGAGACCCTTGCGTTCCCTTTCCCTTCTCCACCGAGGCAAACAGAAAACTGACAAAACGGACAGCTGGCAGAGCGCCGCTTTCCATGCCGATGTGCTGACGCGGGCAGGGAGCAGGGTCAACGTTCTGACACTACAGATGGCACCCATGGCCGATGCTGCCCAGAGCCGTATATTGGGAGAGTTTGGCCAGAGGTGTGGCGACGAAGGCGCCGGAGAGGTGAAAAGCAAATGAAAGGGAGGAGAGCGCTGAAGGAGCGAGAGAGAAAGAAGGGAGCAGAGAAGAGACGACCGCCATTTTTTCGCAACGCTGTCGGAGACTGGTCAGAGAAAAGCACTGCTGAGGCTACACGTCGCAAGAGGCTTAAAAACTGGCCTGTCTCTCTTGGTCGCACTCGGTCACAAGTGTGTGATTGGCGCCTTAGATCTGCAAGGTTGAGAAAATTGCAGGAGGACACTTAAGATTGCTGAAGGGCAGGAAGGCGAAAGCATGATAGTCCCGCGGGTGAAATGTTTTAGAGTAATGTTTCTACACGTATTAAAGTTTAGGACGACGTATAGGACGACGTCCTAGAGATCGACGCCAAGTACGGAATCTAGGACACCTCTAGGACGACGTCAAGGACAGCGTCCATCCAGGAAGATGCCGAGGACGACCTCTTGGATGACCTCAATGACCATGTCTGAGATGACTTCTAGGACGACATCGAGAATGACGCCTAGAAGACAACCGCTAGAACGACGTCAAAAATGACTAGGACTACGTCAAAAATGACTAGGACTACCTCAAGGATGACGTCTAAGATGATGCCTAGAGAACGACATCTAGGACGACCTCAAAAACGGCGTCGTCCTTGAGCATACGATTGGGCGGCGCGGGTTTGACGATGTGAGGGAGGGACGCATACCTGTGTCCCCCTCCATCACGTCAGACAGCTGTGCGTACTAATCGACAACAATAGACCTCAAGGTGTAGCGATAGGCCTAGCGTTAGGCCTAACGTCAGGCCCCTGCATATTCGCATCCCCCCTTCCCGCTGCGCCACCAGCAGTTCGGTCGGCCCCTTAGCAACGATGACACCATTTCAATGGAGCCACATGACGCGTCTCAGCCAATGGAAATTTCTTGCTCGTTTCGCTGCTACAGAAAATGCTGGCTTCACTCCATGGGACAGTTAAAGGGGGGTAAAACGATTTCTGAACTTCGGTCAAACATTTGTGGAAGTTGCCCTCTAGCCCTTCTAAAGTAAAGTATAAAAAATGGATTTCGCCTGCGTGTCCTAGTTGTTGTGTAAAAAAAAGATAAATGTATTGGTATTTCTGGTACCCCTCAACTCACTCCCACTTCAAGGTCACACCTGGTCCCACTCCCTAGTGACGTCATTCGGACGCTTACTCTCCCTCTTTCTGCTGACATTAACGGGCGTTATGATGCAGCTTAGAGCCGAGCAAGGTAACTTAAGCTTCTCATCGTAGTTCCTTCTGCTGCCACTGGCGGCTGCAGGTGGCGGAAAAAGCTAGACTTTTGCTTGGCAATTATGCAGCAGAATCGCAACATTTTTTAATGAAGGGGATGTTTTCTCTCTCCTCCGGGACACGATAAACAACATAAAAATGACGAGATGTAAATTCTTTCAATCTTAAAATCGTGGCACCCTCCCTCCTTTAATGCTTTTGCATTAAAAATAGCCGGTCCAAGTACAAAATCGCTAAAGAATTCAACATTCCGGCATCGTCCACAATTTTGTAGAATCTAAGGCATATTGGATGCATTCAAGAAGCTCCTCATGCAGAAGAAAGCGTGCCCGCGACCCGAAGGTGAAAGATCACCAACTGCTTCGCACATGTCGGATTTTCTCTTGTGAGCATGCTTGCTAAGCCGGCACACGATTTCCAGAGCTTCAACGATCTCTACAGAAGTGCGTGAAAACAGGTTGGCAAAACCGCCGAAGATAACTTTGATTCGTTCGCGCATGCCCATGCAAATGCTCCCCTTGTTGCTCCTGCCATGGATGCTGCAATGATAGACCTTGCGTGCGGCCGGGGTAAACACGAAGCAATGCCCGAGAGGCACCTTGGGAAACACCGACGATTGTGGAGATGCGAAACATTGTGCGGCTGCTTCGAAACAAAAAGGAAAGTGCAGCGGCAAAAACAGTGTTCTTGCAATGCCTGGAGGAGAACTGATGCCCGGATGAAATTATCGGCAAACTCCACTTAATTATTTTTTTACTCAGTAAAGCTGCTGTGGGACGTTCATAACCAAGGTTTGTTCGATTAAATATACGGTCAGAGTGTTCTGCAGTGTTCCTGTCCACTTTCAAGGCTGCTGGCACTGTTTATTTGGCTCCATCAATTTTTATTGAATTATGGCTTATATCAAATTTTTTTGCCATCCTGTTGAATTCATTATAACGAGGGATTACTGTATTTTAATATTTATGTTTGATGGATAAAAATAATTAGTGCTGGTTATGATCACGAAATTAGTTAAACACATATTTGAAGACCTGTAGAATTTGACCCATTTTTCACTGCGTGGTTTTTCAAGTTGAGACGTCGCCCACCACGACATTTAGGTTGACAAGTAGGCCTAGCTGCCTCCTCTCTATTGCAGTCTTTTGTAGCTTCAATTTTTCATCGGAATTTATTAACTAAATAATATTTTCAGCACCGTGTAAGTGTATAGCTACCCATCTATGGTAACATTCGAAAGAGCTTTTCTTTTTACGTAATTTTGGAGCATCTTCATAATTTGTGGACAAGAATTTCTGTTTTTAATATTGTCCTATCACAACCAAAATTGGCATGCACATACTTTAAAATATGTATAATGCAGAATATGTATGATGCAACTACATATTTAGGTTTCATCTGAATGTATATCTTTTTTTTTTTTATATCTATGAAAAATTTAAGAAAAGTTTGTTTGCCCCTTGAAATGGCATTTTTGCTATTTCTAATTATTTTAAAATGAAAGAGGCATTGCACACATTTTTGTTGTTCATTGCATTTAATGGTTTGAAAAAAAATAAATTACCGTAGAATACCGAGCATCCGCCCATTCCACATTAAAGGGATACTACAACGAAATTTCGGCGCTCATTTTTTGGTCTATATGTGTTCAAAAAAGCAGCATCACATCAAACATACCAATATCAGGTTAAAAAAGTCATGAAAAGGAATTTTAAATCAAATCAAACGATTAGCAAAGAGCACCTGGTGGATGTCGCTAACGCCTCGCTTGTAATGCCCGTCTAGGAACCTTGACAGCTAGCGACGGAGGTTGTCTCGTCTCCGGCCACGACGAGAGAAGAGGGGCAGGAGGAACTCCCCTCTTCCCGAGAATGCGTTTTGTGTGTCGCAGAAGTCGCTATTGTCCCCCTACAAGATTACAGAAGATTAACCCGTCACTCAAAATTCGTACAAAAGCGTCCGCTTCGGTGGCTGGAACGACTAGGCCATCCCCTCGACGTCAGCCTCGCCGTAGCTTTGCTCGTCTTGAGACGACCTACGTCACGATTGCGTTGGATGTCACGTGGTCTCCGCTGGGCCTTCTCCGAGCGCTTGCCAGAGTGGGCCGTTTATAACGAAAAATACAGCACCAGGCTCAAAATACAAACGTGTGATTGTCAGTTACGGATATTGTGGGTCATACTCAACCTATTTTTGAAAATGACGGGAATATTTCAAATTTCGTTGAAATACCCCTTAAAGCGCCCATTCCAAAATTTGTAAGATCTTAGAAAATATGCACAGTACATTAAAATGTAAAACTGATGACCGGACAAGCACCCATTCCCCATTTTTTGGCGATTATCTCTAAATTTTGAGTGGGCGCTTGCCTGGTATTTTACGGTAGTCTATTTTACTACTAAGCTCTTTTAACTGTGTTGCCACACCACACGTGTGCACAAGAATATGGTTTTGTTTGCACGTAGATTGCATCGAGAACACAAAAAAACAAGCTATATCAAATCTTACACCAGATTTATCAAGAGAAGATTAAGCACCAAAACATATAATAATATAATTTCTATATCGTAAATAGTAAAAAAAAAATGTTTTCTTCTGCTGCATGTTCCCTTAAGAAAACGAGAGATTTGTCTTTAACTGTGACAGTACAAATAACAGTTCTTTATGTTTCAAAAACGTCTTGTGGCCGAAAAGTATGAAAGTAATTAGTGATGTTCATGTGGTAAGAAACCTAACAAACCTGGATACAATTGTCTTTATACCTTGTTTTGCTACTCAAGCACTTCCCTCTCTAGCATATTAGGCAGATAAATTCATTAGGACAATACTGTCCAAGAATGATAATAACGCCTCCTAATGCAGAGCGAGCGTGCACTTCCTCAAAGGCGAAATCTGCAAACATTACTTCGATGGGACAGTATTGTCCTAAAGAATTTATCTGCCTAATATGCTAGAGAATGAAGTGCTTGAGTAGGCAAACAAGATACAAAAACAACTGTATCCAAGTTTATTAGGTTTCTTACCTTATAAACATAATTAGTTATGAGGACCAATGTTTGCACAGTGAACATTAATCCTTCCAAAGGGATTTTGTCGAGTATGGTCATCATTAGCAGCCAGGTTCACACTGGCAGGCCTTACCTCCGAGTCGGTGAGCATTAGGCACATGTCCATGTCGCTGCTGTTGGATCCCAGTCCGTTCACGGAGGAGCCCACCACATAGAGGCCACACACTGCGGCACGGGTTAGAAAAGACACAAGCAAATTCAAGATTTTGACAAAACTGGAAGCGATAAAAGACAGCAATTGTAATTGTGCTGCGTTTGTTTAGACAGTGTGAAGTTAGCCAGCCCCAACGGGCGTCTCGTGTCTCTGCCGCAGATATGAAACTTGGCCAGTGCGGCACCACTGCTAGCCTAGGGCCCTTATTTAACATGCATTACAAAGTAGTGCGCCAAAAACAGAAACACGAGAACAAGACGCTGCCGCTTGCTACTTGCACCGAAAATTGACTGAAAAACACTAAATATATAGTCGAGTTTCAAAATGCAGATCCCTACAATGTTTTTGTTTTTCAATAAATTTCAGAGAATAGTAGCAAGTGGCACTGTCTTGTCTCCTTCTTAACCGTGTCTTTGGAAACTTACACTATTGTAGAACTTTTCGAACTGATTTGCCTATCCATCTTATAGCTGGTATTTTTATGCCACTGCACAAGGAAACAAAGTTCCCTTTTCAAAACTTTGATGTGATTCCCACTTAAGAGAACCTGGCTTTAAAAAGTTATTTTAATGAACTTTTAACAGTTGAAGGATGCTCAACAAAGAGACTACACGTAGCTAAAACAAAGACAACCAGACTATTGACTTCGTCAGGTATATACAATCAGTTATGATCGTACTGAATACCTCTTCCTACTTTCTGTTGAAATTCCCATTATTGAAAAAACACCAAAAGATGGGAAGTCCCTACAGTCAGGTCAACGGCATTTGAAATAGAAAGTAGTTCAAGGATGCTGCAAGTCTCTAAGACTATATTGTAATCTCTCACATAGTCATCCTCACCCATTCTGCTGACATTATGAGAAAAGAACCACAAGGGCATGTGTATCATCCCTTAATGCACTGGATGCATGAACCTTTTTTCAGGCTGTAAACTTTTGTTATCTAGATAACGCTTCCAGGCAGACACTTGCACTGCATTCCATAGCTTCCGGATGACGATAAGACAACTTTTTGTGTCTAAACTGCACCCACTGTAGCAATGATTTGAATTAATGTATGCGTCCATTGGTAAGAATCCAGTGGAAGCATTTTTTCAAGATTTTCAGGTCAATCACTGAAAGTTTGTCTATCCACTTCTTTCACCTGATTTGCCACTTGTGGGACTATCTCTCAGGCTATCTCTTGGGATGCTGCCTTTGCTTGAGTAATAGATGCACTGCTCCCAAACAAAGCTTGTAGTCAAAAGTTTGAAAATGTTATCAGCACAAAGTGCATTTCTAGGAAGAATAGCTTTCTTAATCTTCTTATTCATTATGGCTCCTACAAGATGCCCAGCCATACTTCTTATAGTTGCAAGAAATTAGAATATTGCAGAGAGGTGGCTCAATATGGAGATCTGAAACCTTGATACTACAATGAGCCTCGACAACACACAGCACAAAAATGAATACAGCTGCTGGTAATGTAGAAGTTTTACTGCTAAGGTTTGTAACAAGATCCATGATATCATGTGGAGTATACAAACATGCCACTTTTAGTTTCATGCAGTTTCATATCAAGCTTTAAGGACTTGCAGCCCTTCTCTTTGACTGCTTCACACAGAGAAGCGCAGGCCAACCCACTTACACGGAAAGATGCGCTGCAGGATCCTGTAGACCTTGTTCCGCAGGGCCATCTTCTGACTGTACATCTCCTTGGACTGCCGGCGTTCCATGAAGTGCCTCAAGATCCCTTCCGACACCTTGGCCCACTTCTCGTTGGCAGCTGTGACCGTGCCGCTGCCGCTGCTCGTGCTGCACTCTGCTTCCTGCAAGGCCAACAGCAACAAACACAAGTGATGTTGTTTCCTTAGAAAGGTCACTAGCTCATGCACTTTTTTTCTGAAAGCTCTATACTCTATTTCACCTTATGATGTACCGCAGGAAAGGCTACAAGCGTGAGCTCCTTGGTCTGGGGCATATCTCGGCGGCACAAGCTCTCGTGCAATAAGAACAACTGCCAACGCTTTGAGCTCGCACTTCTAGCCTTCGCTGGGGTACAACATAATGTGAAACGGAGTATAGAGGGAGGTTGCTCTCCTGGGATCAAGGTAACTACTTGTAAATACTGCAAGGTGGTGCCTTCGCAAGCAGAGATTTCAAGCTCCTCTCTAACCAAATCTACCGAACAATTAGTTTTGGTTTTGAAAAACAACGAAAATGGGCTTTTGGCACAAGCTTGGCACAGATTACCCATATTTCACTCAAATGTAGCAAAATTAGCCTCTTGCTGTAGTGTGGTGCAATTAGCACAACGATCACACTCCTGTGCACAAAAAATACACTAGACGGAAATTTGCGACCTTACTACAAGGAACTTGAAACGCTGCTCATCACATAAGGCAAAAAAAAACCAAAAACAGCAGGCCTGTCGGTCTGTCCTCTGTTGCCTAAAACGGGACTAAAACATCTGAAGAGGCTATACCCGTTTTCACCTCCACAAGCATAGTAAAAAAAGTATAGCACCTTGTGGAGCATTATTGATTTCCCCTTTTATGTGAAGAATTAAGATATATGTAGGTGAATTGTAGATGAGATATATGTTACCTTATCAAGATGTACACGCTCCAAATGCCAAAAGCGTTGCTTTTTCCTCCGACAACCAAATCTCGTAAGAAGTACTTTGCGCCACGTACGAACAATGCGCAAAACTTGCTTTTTTCTTGAAGTGAAAACGGGTATAGAACCCTGTGCTTATTGGATGAAGGCTTCCTGCTGAGTGCAGGTTTGGACACCACAAGATGACAAACAGAAATGAGACTGACTCGGTTCGCTGGGGGTGGCTGCCCCCCAGCAGAGTATCCCTGGGGACGGCGCTTGGCCTCTGGAGACGGACAGTCCTCCACAACAATCGGATCCAACTGACGCCTGCAAAGCAAACATGGTGCATCAAATACAGGTTAGCACCAAGGGAAGAATAAAGTGTATGCTCCATATGAAGACCATTTTTGCATTGTGCTGTTTTATGCGGATCACAAACAATTAAGTATCATAGACCTTGACCTCATGTCGGTTTTGAGTAACCACCTGTAAAACATGTAGATCCCCTGGTAATGTTCTAAAGGTGTTTGCATAAAAGCCAAGAGTAATCCAATGAAGTGAGCAAAGGTGACGGTTAAACATCATGCCACTGCATTTGTGCAGAAGCTCTTCTTTGCACACAGCGAAACAGATTAGCAGGAATTACATTTATGGGGTAGTGAGCCGCCTGTAATGCACTCATCTTGGCTTTGCTAACTCTGCAATCATTGCTGGCATCAACTTGGCCACATGTAGGCACTCAGTGAACTAGGTATTTCGGCCATTGTAGCTTCCACGAAAGAGCAGCAGTATTCAAGGTCACTTGGTATCGCTGAGGATACCATTGATATGAACGACACTATTTATCCTGAACTGTGCTAGCATATCATCTGTATGTTGCTGATATTCTCGAAATTGCCCATATTTCTTTAAAATTAAAAGATTCCAGAGATTTGTATAACATCTGCGATCAAATATATTGCCACGCGCGTGGTGAATTTGGCAGCCCATGCAGCTACCACAAAAGGTAACAAGGTTCCAACCCCGTTCAACGTGGCTCTTTCGTTTATTATCCATACCCTTCTGGAAAAAGTTCCAGCTCCTTCTCAGCTATCATTATTTGTTCTGGTTCGGAACATTCCTGAACATACCATGTGCGTAAAAGCACCAAAATGTGCTGCTTCAGGGAAGTCACGTGCATTGCTGTTGCAGGATGCTGGTTTACATTTCTCTTCAAGTTTGTAGACACAAGTTCACCTCATTAAATATTTATTTTCGGTTCTAATTCATCTACCATTTTCAATTTGTAACAATATCTCTAAATGTCACAAAGAAACAACATAAGAGTTAAATATACACACCCCAATTGAACTGATGCTGCCCGCTTTGGCACTGAAATTCTGTGTGCATGCACAAAAATGTAGACAAGTACAGATATGTGTCATGTCAGTGTACAGCCTGGAATGTATAAGCAAACTGTTTCTCTCCCGTTGTCTCCAAAAAGTTGCAACATGACATGAACACATTTCCTTACTGATCACTCTCAAGTTCTTACAGTCTTTACCGTGTCCTGCTCCTTGCCGACCCTATACAATGTTGCAAGTTTGATCAAATTCACTAAGAAAACTTCTAGAAGATAGTTTCACTGCTTGCTTTTGTGCGGCATTAAAACGATCCTGCTTTCCTATACACCTCTGTAACTTCAGGTGTAGATAATGATCCTCTAAAGTTCGTAGCAGACGTCACTGTCAGTATATGGTACAGATTTGGCTACAGGGTTGCACATGCATTCTGCACTGAGCAAGGCAGGATCCATGCTTGCTCGCTCACTCCGGCAGGGAGGAGATACACAGATTGAACATGGCAAGCTGTTGTCAGCAGTCATGGCTCGATGCTCTTCAGCTGGCTCACATCCGATATTGCTCCCGTAAATATCTAGATAAATAGTTGTAACTGGAACATTCACAATCGGCAAAGATTACAAACCTGTCGTGAAAAGATATAGCTAGTTCAACATTGGCAGCAAAATTTTTGAACCAGAGATGAAAAAGAAAATGTGCTCAAACTAAAGCAGCCAATCTTGTCAGAGGCTTCACATAAAGTTGTTAGCATAGAAAAAAAAATAAAATAAAGATTGAAAGAGAAAGAAAGTGAAATATTATGGTCACTCCTACAGATAGGGGCCTGCCAGCTCAAATTTCGTACCAAAAAGTCATACTGTCTTGCATTGAGCACAGCAGCTAAGTTATGAGTGACCCTTACTTGAGCCCCTTTCTTGGAGTGGAAGGAGAGCCAGGGTGCTGCTGGACACGGGGCTGCTGAGGTGACCCAGGAGCCGGCCTGGGAGACGGCTGCTGAGACAGCCTGGGAGCCAGTCGAGGGGACGGCTGTTGAGATGGCCTCTGGGGTGGCCTAGGAGACGGCTGCTGAACTGGCCTGGGTGCTGGCCGGGGAGACGGCTGCTGAGACGGTCGGGCGTACGGGCTAGGCGATGCCCTGGGGGACCCCATTGGAGACTGCCGCGATAGACCCCTTGGATGGGGCATGTTTAATTGGGGCTGAGGTGTCAGAACCACGTAAGGCGGTAGAAGCCACGGGCCGTTGGGCAATGGGGGAACATTGCGATGCAGCATGATGCTCTAGCAGGTTACTGCACAAGAACAGAATAGGTGCCCAGCATGCTGAGTGAGGTTTGTCCAAAGAATGGCGACCTACACGCCCATTGGTCTATACACCGTCTAAAACCTTCCAATCAGGGGTGTAGCCAGGGGCAGGGGCTTATGAGGCTTCAGTTCCCCCCCTCTCTCCCCCTTGAAATCCAGCTGACCCTATATTATACAAGCACTATGACCCCCCCCTCCCCCCCTCCGCGCCCGAAGTCATGGACATACCAGCTACTTTAGTCCCCCCCCCTTCGAAAAACATTCCTGGTTACACCACCGCTTGTCAAAATTGAGGCTGGAACCTTCAGAGTGGCTTTACGTCTGCGACAGGTTGTGGCTTGCTACAGGGATGCAAGCAAGAACAGACGAGTTTATATCACAGTTCACACATTCCCGACACCTTTAGAACCATGACGAGTCACATATATGCGTGTCGCCATCATTAGCAATTAGACCTTGACCATGGCACACTAGAACTATAAGCAAGCTTCCTCCGCGCTTGCCTGCTACTCGTGATGAAATCAATGGCTCCAGCTAAGATTGAACCGCGACCTCTGCAATCGATTCGCATAGCTCTTGCTTCATAAATTGCTGTCACTGCTTGCTTTTTTAACTTAAGTGTGGCTATTGCAAGCCTACTGGTACCAGTCTTTGAGCTATCTACCGTAGCCCTGACTCTTCCAAGACAAGACATAGGGTTTATAAAAAAAACAATCTGAGCATTAGCACCCAAGCGCACTTAAGACGGGGCAATTTAACTTGACGTCGCAACATCAGCAATACGGGTCACCCGCGTTACTACGCAGCAACCGAATTGCTATCATTTGCCATCATCATTCAATTTTAATTTTCTTAGATTATTTAGACACATAGTTATGCATTATAGATGTGTTTTTATATCTTTAAATGATGTCGAGAGTATTAACTCATTTTTCTGAAATGGATTATGCCCAAAAACAATCTATTTCAAACCAGAACCAAGTCTTTAGTTGTCATCCTCAGCGCCACAGGGGTGTTCACGTGAAAATATTTCGTCCCAGAATGGCTGCTGCCGCTCCAAACATCTACGAGTTGTCCGAGTTGCTTCTCCGTTTCGAGCCAGACGCGATCTGAGCAATTTGTGTCGCGGAGCCAGGATCTAGGGAAAGCTAAAGAAACCTTTGTCAGCAACACCGAATTTGCTGGGAAAGTTGCCCTGTCTAAAGCGGATTTAAGAATATCTTATTTTTAGACCAGTAATTCTCAAACTGTAGTTTGTGGACCCCCAGAAGTCCTCAAGAGCATTCACGGAGGAACGCTCTTGAAAGAAACTCTAAAAGAAGGCACCCCTATGTTATCGCACAAGACCTCTGACGCAGAATGCACTGGGGGTCCCCCATTGGCCTCCGAGTGGGTCGGGGGTCCATAAGATCCAAAGATTTGAGAACCGCTGTCCTGGACGATCACGGTTGAGCGGAATGAGCATGTTATGGCGCAATCTAGACAGTAAAAGTATTTGTACAAGTTTTGTTCCCCTTTTCATTATGTTACCAAGAGGCATCCTGTGAATAGACGTGGCCACATTCAAATGAATGAAGGTTGTGGCACATAAAGTGATGGCTTTCTTAACGCACAGCTTCATTAAAACGAGACCTTTGTCTATCTGTTGTAATTTGCAGCGAATTAATTATTTATGGGAAATGTTTTGAAGGGGGGAGGGGAGCTGCTCAAGTCGAAGCAGAAACATCTGACAGGGTAAAACCGGAGCAGTCAGTAAAATATGGTGCATACAAAAAGCATCAACAAACATTGTCGTTACATCAACGGGAGTTCCCAGTACGGAATTACTTTAAAGATGCGATGGCCTGCATACCGTTCTTGAAACCATGTCTCCCAGCGATACTAGCCGAAATCACCCAAGCTCGAAAGGGCTCGCAGAAGCAAACCGTTTGTTGTTATTTTCGTCAAGCGTCAGAAAGCATTTCGAATTTGCCCATTCTTGGAACAGTCGCGTACATGAAACGATGCCGTGTCAAACGCGAGTGCGTCGGTCCACCGGCGTCGATGCCATAACGAAGTTCTTAACAAAGACATGATTGACAAGTGATACTTACCAGCCAATGTGGCTGATATCTCAGATCCCCCAATAGGTGGTGCCGAACCCTATATATCTGTTGAAATAGTTGAGCGCGAGAAACTTTGCGACGCTTCGCCTGTACAAGCACATGACCGCTTATTACCCCCTTCGCTTTGGTGGTCGTCAGCGGGCTACCGAGAAGCCTTAAAAGTCCAAGTAACGTTCAGTAAGTTCGGCATTGTTCTTGCCTGGGAATTTCGATTTCCTTCATTGAAATCTGTTCGTCTCAAGTCCGGAAAAGTAAGGTGAAAAGCATCGGAAAAACAGTGAACCTTAAATTATGGAATGGCCGGAATGGCACAAGGAAACACAGGAAACAGGAAACTGGGTAAAATGAATGAATAGGCCTAAAACCTTCTGTGCTAACATCTTAAAAATGGGCGGTGACAAGCGTCACCTACAGGGTCTAGTGGTCTAGTGTGATAGTATTGAATACTACAAATTAATATATGAACCAATTACAATAAACATAATTTAACCCACATGCATTTTTAAATTTGAAAATGTTTTTTTTTTGTAAAAATTGAGCAATATTTTTCTAGATGGTGTTGGTAGTCAAAAGTAGCCAAGCTGTTATCATCGTCATCGTTTAAGACCATTCGATTCAAGGCAACGTTGATTGAGGTGAAATATCCTGGGCAGGGTGTAAGATAGACAGGTGGGGAAACGACAGCCAAATGAGCGACCGGATTGTGTCCCCCTCGGTTTTCTCTTTTTCAGTGGCGCCATCTATGTGGAGCACAGCGAACTCTCACTCCGGGTGGGCGACCATTGGCGACCGGCTAAACTGACGGAGATAGTTTCTCGTGGTTTTCCAATGGAGGACTGTCGTGCTCTCGTTTTATTTTCCGCACTCTCCCATAGAGTTCCACGCAAATCCGATTCCGATTTTTTTCCTCTCGCCGCAGCGCCATCTGTCGCAAATCGGGGGTACCCGCAAGCAGACGAGTACACAATCCGGTCGCGGCGCGGCGGTAGACTTCTATGGGCCGTTTAGGGCCGTTTCCCCACCTGTCTATCCTACACCCTGATCCTGGGTTTCGTGTTGGGGTTCCTTCAGTTTCTCGTTTCCCGCTATTTCTCGCTATTTGGTTGCACCACTCGAGACTCCCTTGTGGTACTCGTGGGCCCTTTTAGCTTGAAAATCTCTTTCGTCCCCCGTCCACTTTTTTTTTTCTTTTTTAGTTACTAATGACCGGTCAGTGCGAACTACTAAATGGTACTAAATAACTACAAGGGATCTGCTTTGTCGTCGTGTTTCTTTAAACCGCATATGAGAACCTTTTAATAAACTATGTTGAATTAACCTGAGACTGGGGCAGAGAAGAAACGTCAAAACGTAGAACAGAAAATAAACAGGACGTCGTCCTGCCTATTTTCTGTCCCTTCTACGTTTTGATGTTTCTTCTCCACCTCGAATGCAAGGAAAATACACTGAACAATTTGTCTATTTTGCACATGTGAGATGGTTTATTTTCCTATATATTTTATGCATGTGCGTTATGAAAGCACGACTCGTTTCTTGTGCGCTGAAGCGCACGTCAGTGCGCAGTCCAATGCAATGTGCATCTCTGCCGTTGTCGATAGCAAAAGAAACCGGTGTGCTATTGCTCGCGTCTACACATTCCTATGTGAACAGGAGCCAACAAGCCGTTTGTTGACGCCATCCCGCGCGAGAGACGACGTCAACGGGTCGTGCTTGCATTCAATCCTTCACGAACAGAATACGAACGATCGCTTTCTCTACAACGCCAAACATCATCATGACTCGGTCTCCGTCAGCGTGATGGGCGGACCACTGTACGGCGCAGCGTCGCACCAGAAGTCGTGAGGCGTAGGCACCTCGACCAGTTGAACGTCGGAGCTGCCCTGATGTTGGCGCGATTCGCGCGCAACTCTGTAATAATGACAGTCTCTATCTTTCATATTGTAAGGCGGCGCCAGGATATCGAGAAATGCCACAGGACCGTCCACCGCAGCGATCTCGTGAATGTTCCTCTCGGTGGGCGTGAGACAGCACGCGTTGCTCTCGGCGCCCACGGAGACGTCGGGGTGTCGTTGCGCGTCGACGATAAGCTCGTCGGTGACGGCGTCGGTCCTCCGCCCGATCGCGCTGTAGCTCGTTATCTTAGCCGAACCGTACAGAACCTTGAGGATGCCGTACATGGACGGATGGTCGTGCAAGGGAATGCGCGCACCCCGCTTCACGATGAAGATGCTCATGGTGAAGGTGCGGTTCTCGGAGAGCGAGATGTAGGTGACGGGTGCCGCGTCGCTTCCATTGTACGAGGTCGCCCTGGATATGCTGTGGAGCATTTTCTCGTCCAGGTTGACGTCCTTGCAGGTGATCTGGCTCGCCGCTCTTTGTAGTCGTGCTAGGCAGTCGGAGAACGCTTCGTCGGCGAGAAAACTTCGAGTGAAAGTTGCCTGAGCTTGACGAGCGACGGCTTGGATGAGCGCGGCCATGTTTGAGAGCGAATTGGGTCATTGGATGGATGAGAGAAATTTCTCGCAGCTCTCTTTCTTCTTCTAAATTGAGCGGTAGGGCGGTAGCTTGCGCCACCACCGTCGCCTGCTCTAAACGTCTTTTTGGCGTAAGTTTATTTTGCGCTCGTGACTTGCGCCGATGTTTGTGTTCGTGGGTGTTGGTTCCACTGATCAGTGGTTGGTTCCCTCCAGACGACGCCGAAACGAGCAAACCATATTGGTTCCTGACTTTCGGATAGCTCGGGATAGCTGCCACCGGGATCAACAAAGAGATCGCGATTCCAAATTAAAAAAAAAAGTTTGGTTTTTACGGTGCGCAGCGGTCTGGAAGATGCACCCTAGGGTGCCTACATGTTTCCGCTCCGCAGCGGAGTGGAAACAGCGGAGCGGCGGGAACATGTAGGCACCCTAATGCACCCTCATCGATCTCCGATGACTCGAAATCGGGAACAGAAAAATGGAAGGAGCTCTAGCAAGAACACATATGAGACTAATTACGAATGTTGAAACGCATTGGGAGCCGATGGGATTGCCATTAATGCAAGGTGCAGCGAGCTACACAAGAATGATAATAATCGCTGAAGAAGGGCCACCCCTTTTCCAGAGATTACAATTTTACTATCGTTAATGAGGGCCCTACACCAGGAACTCATAAAAAGGATAACAAAAGAACAATAAACCAAAACTCAAATCCAGGACCTATTGCGAAGCTCCTAGAGGACCTCAAACCAAAAGAATAAGCGGTGCCACAAAAGAATCGGGTAAAACGAAACCGGGTTCTAGTGAAAGGTGGCACATCAAAAGCCAAACAGGAAAGCAAAGGGAGTGTCAGGAGTGTAGGCTCAGTCTGAGAAGGAAGCACAGAAAGCAGAAATACATGCACCTAAACTGAAAATACTATAGTAGAATTTTCAGTTAACACGTGTACTTTTGTTTCTAGTATCAACGCGATTAAAGACCTCGTGTCGCAGAAAAGCCGGCCTCAGTGGCGTGACGCGAGAATCCTGATTGGTAAATAGGGTCATGACATCCCTGTCACATGACCTCACGCGGGAATTTTAAACACTCACGTCGAACGTGACATCACGTCTGGAATGAAAGTTAAATAAACTTAAATAAAGTTAATTCACATGTAATGTGAATTATAGATCACTGTAATTTATTTACCTTAAAGAAAAATTAAAACAAAAAAAATTATTGGCGGGATTCGAACCCACGATTGCGAGTCAGACACGCTACTGACTAGGCCATGTCCAAGCACTTCCTGCTCCCTGGCAGGAAGAGCATGAGAAGGAAATGAGAAGGCGACGCAAACGGGGCCGATCAACATGGTGTGTGCATCAGGCCCATTTGCATCATGTGGATACAGCCCCATTTGCATCACGTGGATCAAAAACGCGTATCCACGTGATGTGTCTTCCGCAACCTAAAACCAGATTCCTTGATTTCCGTGTGGATACGAAACGCGTACCCACATGGTGTGTCTAGAGCACTATATAGCTCCTTCGGAGCAGAGTAGCCAACGTTATTAAAACACTCAGTTGGGAAACTCCCATAGAGGCAGCCCTAGAAATATGGCCCCAATCTGTCTCCGAGCACCGAGCTAATGACGAACACAACGCCACCATTTCTCCCGCAGCGGCCACTCGAGAAACTGCACGTGACTTCTATTTTTGGCTTTGACAGGGGTGAACCCCCGTCTCCCCGGCGGACGCACCGCGTTAAACTCCCGAAGTTAAAATGCACCTAGGTCGGGACGCGCTACCTGAAAGGCCCGCTGAGGCATGGTTTTATAAAAACAATATTAATTGTTCCGCAAAACCTTGCGAACTAAAGATGGTAAAAACATCACGCGCCCATCATTTGGTACTAAACTCCAATAAATTCCATACAAAAAGAGTCTTTTCCGTTTGTTTTTACGCAAAAAACAGGCTTTCAAAAAGCTCGAGGGGACCACAGTACAGACAAACGATAAAGAGTGGCGCTGTTGTCGCATTTAGCTCGGTCTCGGTGGACGCCAGCGGCCCAGGTTTCGACGGCGAGTTTCCCAACTGAGTGTTTTAGTAACGTTGAGAGTAGCGCAATCTAGAACGCCGTCTCTCGGCGACTAGCGGCGAACGCCCGGAGGTTCCAACTGCGGTCAGAAATGCATGGAGAACGTGAAAAAATCATTGTTTCTTCAGTTTTGTGGGGATGTGCGGAATGGAAATCATTTTTGACATAATAATGAAACATTTTAGAATAATATGCGATAAGTTTTGTGCCATACAGGGACATACCTTTTTTTAAAAAATTTCCTGAGCGGCATCATGCAGCAGACGACACGGCGACGTCACACCATTCACGTGACCCGCTCCGGCCAACCCGAAAAGCCCATCTCCGCTGCGAGCAAAAATCGTCTGCTTCAAACGCCATTGCCTTGGAAATTGCCTTCTCAAAATTTGCACACGCATCCGATATTATTAAAACTTTGATAAAGTGTTTAGCGCTTTACTAACTTCACGACAGGCTAGTTTTGAAAAATGTGAACTCGCCATTAGTTTTTTAATCAGCCGTGTTATGTCGATCTCCATGTATTCTCCCATAGGGCGGGCCGCCTCCTGGAACCCTGAGTACCACGTGACTCGCGCCGAGCCGCTCTGTCGGCCATGTTGTCGGCAAAACACGGGGTTCAAAGGATTGCGCTACTCTGCTCCGTAGGAGCTATATAGTGCTCTAGGTGTGTCTACCGCAACCTAAAACCTGATTTCTTGATTTCCGCCCGAGGACGCGACAAAGTCATGTCGTCGTCAGTTGCATACCTGGCGGAGTCGCAGCATGCGTGGTAGATGTGGTGGACGGCTGTTCTGCTCCATGTCGCTTGCAGCTTGACAGTACACGGAACATGCATGTATCTGGGATGGGGGGAAGGACCATGCCTTCCTTCCCCCCCCCCCCCCCCCCCCGAAATCTTCCATCCATTTTGCTCGGGCCTTCTAGCTCTCCCCTCCGCCTCACAAAGCATTTTGTCATGGGCAGCACCCCTACCCCCCAAAACAAGATCCTAGCTACGTGCCTGCCACAGAAGCTTTGGCAGCCAGGAGTGGACACTGCGACGGCAAAGACACTCACATTCACTCAGAAAATTTACCGTGACTTCTAGTTCCAACTGCCAGGATTGCAACGTCCGACAACGTAGGCTGCCGGCTTCTGTGACATCATTTACATGCACTACGGGACCACTTCTGATACATGGAAGGAATACGATGCACAACATATCAGCCGAAGACACATTCCAGTCACCGTAATTTCACTGAATAAGTGGGCGTTTCATCGAGCATTATTTCATCAAATAGTTTTAACGCTGCTTCCTAATTCGTTATTCCGATCATTTCGACGCTGTTGTCGCGTCACATTGGAAAGAAATAATCACAATTACAACGCTTGTCACTTCTCTCCGGAATGATATTTATATGATTCTGGTTGTGTGTTCCATTGCCAATGACACAAATAAAATCCCCCCCCCCCAAAAGAAAAAAAAACACAAAAAAACCACAGCATTCCAAAGTTTCAGAACTAACCGTTATCTCAATTAAAATAAGTGATTTTTTTTTTTTATTTCAATGGGAAATGAGGCTCACCCATAGGAACTGGTGCCGTTCAGTTCCACATTATCCCCCACACCGACCATCCATTCAAAATTCAACTTACTACACCTAGGACTAACTATTCAAATTTTCTCCCTTACTGCAAAATAGTTTGTTGTTGGGCGAATTGATGAACATTTGGATACATGGTTTTGCGCAAAAAAGACTGACACAAGAAAGAGAAACAAACACGAGCGCTTACAATTGGCTATTACTGATTGGAACAACCCCCCAGAACCTATTGTGAGCATCCCAGATTTCAATAACTTCAGATCTGCCATTTTCTCTCTCATCACCATCTAGCGTCCTGTTTGCATGTGTTCACAAACATCCTAGCCTGCTTGTTGTGTTACTTGCGTGTTTAAATTTGCCCCCCCCCCCCCTTTATGTAAAGCCCACTGTGGGCATTTAAGGGTGAAATAAATTAAATTAAATTAAATGTATTCGAGAGGCGGCCGTCATTTTCCCCTTAAAATTTTCAGAAAGTCACTTATAACTTTTGAAAAAGTTGGCGTCCGGTCCGAACTGTTAGCACCACATTTGGGCAGAGAATGAGCATTCGGCGATGCATATAATTTATTTTTGTGGTAAAGAAAAAACTTGGTAAATTTTTTTTAACAGCCTGTAGATGAACAATATTGAGACTTGCATCCATTTGCTTGAACAAATGGATGCAGTAAAAGTTCACAAGTGCATACAAGTAAGACTTTTATGTGAAAGCAAAATGCTAGCTTTTGCAAGCTATGACAAAGGCCATTTTAGTTCCGGTACAAAAGCATAAACGGTAGACAATAGAGACCACCAGAGCCCTCGAGAGCACCAGTAATTGATTAGGCAGTGCTTGATGAAACGACTTCGATTAGATGGTGTACAGTGAAATTACATTTTAAAAAAATGTCTGGATTCAATGTTCATCTTTAATCCCCCAGTATCATGGTCTCTTTCTCAAATTTCTGGTTCCCTGCAGTGCATGCTTTCAGTGAGCATAGCCTATATAACTAAAAAAATTATCTCAGGTAAATCGGATGTAGAATGCTCGAAAGTTATCTGAATAAAGATATAGTCCGGCTGTTACCCAGAAAGAATATGTGCATAGTAAAAATATCTAAAGGAAGTAGCAATTGGGATATGGTGGCTCAAATTAACGTGCAGTGCCTTCGAAAGCACGTGTGTGAGCACAACGGTCTTTGGTGACCGTTCCTCACACAATGCCAAAATTCATTGGATGCTCGTGCACATAAAAGCCTTTTGTTCCGAAACCTGTCGACAAGGGCGTTGCCCAAGGGATATCCAAGGGCACCGCCCTTCGGCCATGGGGGGGGGTCTGGTTTGCCCCCCTCCACTCAGAAACAAGTTTGTACGCCACTGCCTGCCGATGACACTGAGCACTCTTTCTCGGACTCGGAGAGTTGCCACGTGTCATTACGGCTATGGGTCCCAAATTGTGGCAATCTGCCAAAGTTATTGACATCAGAGACTGCATAAAAGCACCAATCAAGAAAGTGACATTTGTTGAATCATTGAAAGGATAAGAGATATCCATTGGACTCGTGATAAATCAAACTCTTATATTTCATTCTTCCGGTTAATTCAAACAAATTAAAAAATTTTTGGTTGTCCTGCTATCTTTTAAATGCATTCATAAGCTGCTTAATTCCAACAGCATTCTTTGCTTAATTCATGCTATTTATTCATTGCAGCGGGCTAGCCCCGTGGAGTGCACGTCTCGCCGAGCACCTGTGCACAGCGAGTAAGCAATACCCACAAAGCTCGCAGTCACTGCTTTTCCCAGTGCACAGGTGAGAAGCGCACTCGATAGGACTAACCCACCACGACTATGCAAGCAGAAGCAGAACTTTTGCCGCATCGAAAGTTCGGCGCCGAAACTTGGGATTCGACAAAGCCGAACGAACTGTTTTAAAGATTCGGAAAAAAATATTCTGTTACCAGCCTTAACGTTGATATTTAGCTTTTCTAGCAAAAAAGGTATTATGTTTTTTTTTTCTTAACTTAAATGCAACATGTAATGCTTACTGACATAGTTATTACTAAATAAGGTCATATTCTACAAGATAATTATATTGGTGTCGTTTTTATGTGTTTATTGGCAATTTTAGCGACTCCTTCCAAAAGTGGCATGACAACGAGGTTGTTGAGGTTGGGTAGAAGCGAGCATAGCGCAGTCACGAATCACGCTGCGAGTTTCAATTTTAAGGGATTATCAGCGCAAGCCTGCATGTGTGTGTACATTGTTAAAATGAAGGCAATAACGCTGCATTCTTGTTTTCTCTGGGAGTCACCGTTTTGTTCGCAAAAATGAATGCAACGGTTGCTGAGCCTTCCCCAGAAGAGATAATAATATTATTGCAAATATGCATGTTTTTCGATTTGAATCACTTGACGTCAGCTTTGCATGAAAGTGCGCGTCCCATATTCACAACGTCTCGTTTTTAGCCTCTAAAATGCCAGTTTCTGGTGTTCGGATACAGACAAACGTTTATGAAGATAGGGAGAGTTAGGAATGTGGGATGTGCAACGTCGAGGCATTATAGTTCTGTTCAGTTTTATGGAGATACAGGGAAATTGTGAAATAACGCTAATTGAAAAAGCAATATTTTGTTTTGGCACACACTGCTTGTGAGCCGAAAACAGGATTGTTGTAATTGCGAGGAGTGCTTCGAAGTAAATGTCGGCCAATGTTTCAACTACCTCGTTGCATCACTGGAAATGTTAAATGAAAATCACGCTATCGAGAATGTATCCCATTATTTGTCACTTGCGCAGTGGACTGTCTAAATTATTGGTCGATCTTCTATTCTTGAGGCAGAAAATATTGAAGAGAACCACACTCGCTCATGAACGCACAGTTACCGTGTTGCCTACTCCACACCTCGCCGTAACCGCTGGTTGTACACTGCACTACCGTGCACTACACGATGGTAATTGCATGACTGCATGGCGTCCATTTGCAATCCACGGCCCCGTAGTGTTCTCGCGTATGCGCAGACATTTGCCGAATTTTGCCCAATCTTTGCCGAACTTTCCCTCGAAAGTTCGGCACTTGCCAAACTTTGCCGAATCTGAAGTCTGGCAGATTCGGTCCATCACTAGTAAAGACGTGCCTTTTTGCCTCGATACTCAAGATGACTCATAATTATAAACCATTTTTTGGGGTCCATATTAATGAGACATTACCGTCTCTGTCTGTCTTACTCCCAAGTTTCTGAAATCCGCTTTCTTGTTTGGTGGCTATTCCCATGCAGTTCCAAGCTTTGACTCTCCTTAGCCATTTTCATGCTCAGGAATGGCAGCAAACGGGTAGGTATACCCCATCAGTCATCGGTAAGCAGTGCCACAACACATTCCAAGAGCAACCTATTTGATATTCATTGCAGATAGCTAAGAACACAATGGAGCTTTTTCCAGTAAGCCTCTGCACATGTATGCACTCTCTGGCCCTTGCTTCCCGCCGTAGCCAGTTTCGGAGGGCACCGTCCGGCACGACCAACGCTGTTGGGACCTATTTTTGCATATATATTGTCTCCTTTATAAAAACACCTTTTTTAGCAAAAAGCAATGAAAATCAATACAACGGCACAATGCTAGTTTTCCGACGGGCGGAAGCATGTTGAACTGCCTTTCATTTGTAGCTCACGGACAACCCCGAGATGGCGCTCGTTTAAAGGCACTCGTTTCCCTTTTTCTGTTCAAAAAGAGGGAAATATTCCTAATTTTTAAAACAGTTCTTAGACTGAAGTTTAGCAAAGGTGTAGAATGAACAAAGAAAAGGAAACCATGGCGGGGGTCTTCCTTCTGGCAGGAAACTATCAGAGTAGAGAGTTTGGCCATTCATTGGGAAGTATAGGAGACAAATGAAAAGGCGCCATTGGCCGAAAGCGGGCTGGGCGTGCTCCAGGGCGTCTTCAGAAATTCAAATGTGACCAACCAGAAGCCGGAAATAATACCCTGGTGGTGGTCGCGAGAAACAAACCTGATAAGTGCATCGGAGTAACTCTCGGTGACTGAAAATATGGTACACGTGATGTTTCAGTCACGCTCATCCAAAATGATGGTGTAAGAGTGTGACTAGCAGAACGATCGACATAATCTTTACGCCAAGCGCCAAGGGCCGGGGATCTGCCGTCCGAGCGGTCACACTCTGTCCGAGCAAAACAGAGTCGAGCGGTGCATTCGTTTCTTACATCTTTCAGCATGATCATGATCGAAACATCACACGCACCCCATTTGCAACCACAAAGAGTTACTACACTTCACTCTTACGCACTTATTAAAACCGTATACAAACATATACCTTTGATCAGAACTGTTTCTTGCTACCACCACTAGGGGATTCTTTTCTGCTTCTGGTTGGTCAAGAGAGCATGCCAAGCCCTCTTTCCGAGTCTCGTGCATGCCCTGGCTCTGCCCACGCCTCCCATCGACAAAACTCTCTGTATACACGGCTCTGGAAACTATTTCTTATATCCAGTTTCAAAACACCCGGTCTGCGAGCGCAACCTCGGTACCATCATCAAAAAATACAGAGCATGTCCGTGGACGTGTCAGTGCAGTTTAAATGGGATAATGTTTAAAAACTCATCCCGCAAAAGGGTGCTCATCAACACTGCTTCACAATGTCAGTAAGGATCAGCTTGGAGCATGCTGATCCGATTCAGAAGTGACACTTCTGCCGTCCTTGTTATGACAATTGACCCTTTTCGAAATTTCCAAGTGATGCGTAAATTATGTACGGCTGCCATTAGTTGTTCATGCACTGTGAGCACGCATTGGACACAAGCGCTTCATCAGCATTCGAAGCATACTAGGATCAAAACGCATCCCACACGAGTGCTGTGCGAGTTCTTGGAGCAAACTTGGAACCAATCACAAACTTCACGGCATAAGCGATGAGACCAACTAATGGCAGCTGCGCATAATCTATGCATCATTTCACAATTTCGGAAAGGGTCTATAGTATCACCTAATCTTATATGAAGACAACAAACCTTTAAGCAGCCCACGACGATGCATTTAGAGATGGAAAAGAAGTGAGCTCCCATTCTTGCAAATGCAGTGTATTCCAATATATTTGTGACCTCGGTTCGTGGGTAGGTGTACAGAGCACTTGCAGCACAACCCCCTCCCCCAAAAAGGTTTGGTTAAAAAATAGGTTGCAGCTTTGTTGCACGTGAAACGGCGGGTCGCTTCACGCGTGGAACGCAGAGATCCAGCCGTCGCGTGCATTCCCGACGCTCGCGTGGGAGCCGCCTTCTCTCAAACGAGGGACTCCTACCCTCGAGGGCCGGGGAACCGCGGCACCCCAATCCCACTGCCGAGGTGAGAAAGAAAGAGAGAAGGGTGCCTAACCCTCTCCCCAAAAAACTCTACTTCCAGAACCCCCCAGCCAGAAACCAAACAAATGCCCAAGGCTGTGTTGCGCGGGCTACGGAAAGCGCGCTCGCAGATTTTCGACAGTGGCCGCGCAGGCGCGGTGCTGATGAAAAGGCGGGAAGATTCGGGAAGATGAGAGCAAAACGAAAACGTAAAAATGCCCCGATGCGACGGGGAGGGTGCGTACGGTCGTGAGGGGAGGAAGCGCGTCTTGCGGACGCCGCTTTTAAGTAAGGCGCCCTTTCTGCGCAAAACCTGCCCTAGGCAGCGTGTGCGTGCAGGACAACAAAGACGCCTCCCTGGCCCGCTTGCCGGAATGCAGCGGCACGAGCCTGGTGCGGTCGAGTACCTCGAATTAATCTACACTGCGCGCCTCTTTCGAGCACCGACAGTCGTCGAATGTGCCGACGTACGACACGGGGCGTCCCGGGCGGGTTCTGGTCGAGGCGCGGCACTCGGGCAGTTCGATCCGGTGCCACATCACCCCAAAAGCCGCACGAGACGTGCGCCTCGTACGTTGGCATCTGTCGCTGCCTGAAGAAGGCATTGAGGGACTTCGTCCCAAAGGAGAGGGGGGCACCAGCGGTGGACAACGCTACGATCGACAACGCCATGCGCGAGATGTTTCCTAAGGGTCTCGATTGCGCTACCCGACGTTTCAAACGAGAGAAGAAGGGTCACTCTGACTGAACAAGTGGCGGGTCTTCTCTGCTTGCAAGGTGCGCCCCACTAAGGGCCGTTCCAGGCCCCCTTCATCCAACTGCACTGGTGAGTCCACGAAACAAGGTAAAGCACTCGGCACAGTCCACTCCTTCGGACGCCAGTCCCCCCGTTAGGTCCTCCCAACACCCGATCCGATGCTGCAATGAAGCGGGGACGATGGGGGCCGGCGCTTTCACTCGGAGAAGGAGTTGAACATGGAGAGCTCTTCGAACGAGGCCGTGCCTGACTGGTCCAACATTTGGAGCATGTCGGACAGTTCCTGCTGCGGGGGCTGCGAGGGCTGAACGGGCTGGGGTCCACCTCCAGAGCCCCCTCCGCCACCCCCAGAAGGGGGCGCGGGACTCTCGGAGGCACCGGGGCCCTGCCACTGGCCCCACAGACCTGCGGAGGAAAGACGCCGTTAGGACCGAGCCTTGCCAATGCTGTGTGTGTGTGCTCAGAAAATGTTGTGAAAATTGAACCCTGTAGAGGCACGCGAGCCAAATATCTTGGATTAGAATCAATTGATAGGCAACCCCCCAAAGTGAGCAGACGCCCATATATTTTACTTACTGTCATTCAAGAATGCAAATATTGAGCTGGCATTAAATACACCGAATATGAATATGCATCGAAGTATCGGTGAGAGTGTATTGTACAAGCTAGTGCTAGCATGGTAGCATACGGCATGAGAAGCTTTTCTAAGTTCCTCCTTCTCTACTGTGCAGCTGCAACACGCTCAAAATATGCAGCTCAAGATAAACCACACTGCATAATCTCCCTTTCTGTGCGTCCCACTCCCTCCTTTCTCAAAAGGCATTGAAAAATGGTTTTGCATGCAATATGCCCGCAAAATCCTAAAATGATTCTGCTCTACTTATGTAAATGTGGTATTTAAGTTAAGGGGTGCAACAACCCACTAGACCACTACTTCTATACTATGTAATAGGGTGGTGCAAATATACAAATTTTCTAATACGCATAGTAATTTCATAAAATAGGCTATTCGACATTCGCCTCGAGAGGAGCTACAATATTCATACTTTTCTAATTGTTGATCGCAGCGGGTTAGCCCCGTTGAGTGCGCTTCTCTCACCCAGAACCTGCGCACTGCGGGGAAGCAATTGACCTGTTGCAATACATACGGCGCCACGACGGCAGAGGATTTTGGGTGCCTTCAATACAGATCACGCGCTTTCTCGTTGCGTCTCCGTGACTGCACATGAGCCACGGCAGCTACCGCCAGCAGCTGTCGCAACCATCGCCATCCTGTCCAGTCGGACGAGCGCACAGAAATGGAAGAGAGGATCTCGCGTTAGCTAGCTTGCGAGACCGCCCCTTTCTCATCCCTCTCCTTTGTACCGGCCCCATAGTCTGCTACACCAACGCTTTGTCGAACCTAGTCGAACCCTGCCACGGTTGCAGTGCAAAATAAGTGGATTCGGTGCCACTGCAAGACGTGAAGGTTTGTAGAGTTCCTTCCAATGGAACAACATAGACAAGAATCAACCCGGGTGCCACAGGCAGCACGGATACGGTACGCTGCCAACAACGTAAAATGTTTCGGCCAACGACGTCCTACATCGATGGCAGCGTATTTTATCTATGCTGCCTGTGGCACCCAACTACGACTCTTGTCTGCATTGTGCCATTGGACAAAACTTGATAGACCTTCCCATCTTGCGGTGTCACCAAATCCCTTTATTTTGCACCGCAACCGTGGCAGGGTTCCACTAGGTTTAACAAGGCGTTGGTGTAGCAGACGGCGGAGCTGGTACAAAGGATGTGAGAGGGGCAACCTTGCACGCTAGCCAACACGATCCCCTCTTCCCATTTTTGTGCGCTCGCCCGACTCGGCTGCTCGAGCATTATTGCCTTGGTAACCTGCGCCTGCTCGCATATGTTGTGTGGTAGCAAGAGGAAACACGGCGGGAGGGACGTACCAAAGACTCCCATAATTCGTCGCTCGCTGCCTTTTTGGAAAATTTGCAACCGCGGAGCTCACAGGGACTGTGGGTATTGCTTCCCCACATTGTCCAGCTGCTTGGTGAGAAGCGCACTCAACAGAGATAACTTGCCGCGACTGTGCAAGAGTATGTTACGCAGTGGTGTCTTTGACAACCCGTGTCATTCATGCTAGCTTTCCTTTTTAACAAATTTTAAATAGAAAAAAAAAAAATTTGCATCTACATGCTTGCAAGTATGGCCTCAGGACGCCACCATCTTGCTCAGTTGAGATGTGCTTTTGGGCACATCATAATCCAATTACGACGCCTTGCTAAGGTGTCATAAGTGGATTATGGCCGCAGCAAGATGGCCAGTGCCCTGGGCTGTACTTCCAAACGTGTATAGAAAGCAGATTTAGAAATACCCTCCATTAGGATAGCTGCGACAAAGTTGTTTACATGCCAAAGTTCACAAATATACCATAGTTCTATTAAAATTAACTGAGCCTAGAGGTGGACAAGTGGAAGCTCAGGAGCGACCTTCACGAGTTCGTCTGGATTTTCATTTAGGCATGGTGCAATATGGTGCAGTATTTCATTCGGAAATATTCAGCCGTAATCACTATTCGCTTCCAAGTCGCTTCAGACTCAAAATCCACTATTCGCACATGACTACTACTTAACAATCACCTTCAACTACTTCAGTTTGGCTGACTCGGCTAGCTTGAACATGACTGCAAGCAACCAATCCCTATTTATACTCCCACTACATACATTCAATATACACCTTGGGCTAACTGTTTCTAGACTTAAGGAACCCAACGTCACTTGGTAGATCTGTACAGAGTAGCAAACACTCCACTTAAACGAGTGATTGCAACTTTATTCCTTTTAGAGTTTCTTCTATTTATTTATTATTTATACATACTGCTGGTCCGTGGGCCGTGGCACGGAGGAACATTTAACAAAACGATACACCTCATACCTCCAATAAAAACTTTGAACAATACCGTATTTAAAAAATTGGATACAAGACGCACCCAAAGCGCAAATGAAAAGAAAAAGGGGACTAAATGCACGTTTTGTGCCAGTAGACCCAGCATGGAAGCCTAGCTTCGAGCATTTGACTTCGAACCACTCTGACTCCACTGCTCACCCCTGGCGCCCGGCGCAGAGCCCAGCTGGGTGTAGGTGGGGCCAGAGGGGCTGCGGGAGGAGGGACTCATCTGACCGTAGCCCTGGCTGTACTGCTCCTGCGATGTGCCCTGCAACAGAGGGCAGGGGGTCTCAGTGGAGGGTGCCGGCAGACCGTTTGGTAACCACGGGAGAGGAATGTAGGGTCTCAGAGATGATTGACCACACGCACGCTAAATAAAAACTTGAGAAATATTCTGATGACACTGAATAGTCAGGCCCTTGCCTTGCAAACACTTAGAACTGGTCCATAGGAGCCAACAGCCAATACTGTCCACCAGCAAAAAGTTCTCACTGGGGTTCCTTGGATGTAACCATATCACAACTTTAAGCAGGATCTTGAAATCATCCCACAGAAAACGAGTGCCACACCTATAGACCTTCTCATGCATACTTGTCCCCAGCCACCTAATAAGAGTATCTGGTATGGGCAACGAAAAAATAACTTTTCAACCTGTAAATAGCGAAAAAAAAAAATTCCAACGACACCTAAGCACTTTTTATCAGTTGTGAATGCGAAAGCATGAATGTTGTTCTTCCGCTCCCTCAGTTCGTCAACAGTGTACTGGCGTGGACGGCCACGTTTCGCTACTGCCGAGGTTGCAGCCGCCGACGATATAGATGCCTCAGGCGCTGCCATGTATCTCGGTGCCGAGAGAAGCAGAAGCGGCCGCAGCCCCCCCCCCCCCTCCAACAGCGCCTGACACGAAAGCGGCGGCCAAGCGCTCGCTCTCATGAAGCGGCTGCCAATGGCTATCTAAGAGCTGTTTTGCTCAGCTAATGGGAGAATGGGCATTTCTTTCAAATTCTTTCGCAGTTAAAGACGCCGCCGGCTCTGCACCATGGGATAGTTATTGCTTTCGCATTAAAATAGAGGGGAGGCAAAAACGAGAATGTGTGACGGTTATCCTTATATCCCAAATGTCTTCTATCGGCGTGGCGACGGCAAAACAATGCTTTCGCCCATACTGGAAGCGACAAAATTAAAAATGGCGGCGCCCTTGTGAACTAGGTTTATACACGCCACACCACCTCCACATGTCGCTGGCACATGCCTGAACAACGCAACTTTCCCCTAAATTTGTTGCGAGCATCCCTCCAGTTTAGTCTCACCAGCACCATGCAAAGTAACTAAGACATTAGGCATTCCAAGTTGACCACTCTGCCTTTCACTGTGTCTTTGTTGTGTCTTTCAAGTTTTTATCAACTGTTCCCGCACATGGCCTAGCCTACCAGTACCTTTACTAATTAAGATTTGGTAAAACCAGGGCGTAGCATAAGTTGTCGTAGGAGGGATCACTGTAGAAAAAGATAAGGAGGACGGAAGTGTGGCTCTGGGTTTTACGAGGGAGCTTCCTTCCCACGCTTTTCCCTTTGCTTCGTCCCTGCTCACTTGAGTCAAAAATAACAAAGAAGATATACCGTATCTGAATGAATATAACGCGAGTTTTTTTTTTTGGAAATCATGTGCTCCAAAACGCACCTCGCGTTATAATTTGGAATCGAGTTCAGCCGCGAGGCGCGCAAGTCTGGAGAAAGCCATCCCTTTCGCTCAATGCAGAAGATCGGGTGGGAAAAGAAGTTGGGTGTGGGAGGGAATTTATTAGCTATTGGGCCATGTGAAGGGGGAAATAGAAAACATAAAAAGCATTTTTATCACTTTTGTGTTTGCACAATGCACAGAGGAAAAGCATGCCGCAGAAATGCAGCGCCAGGCGGGAATGGGGGCACTAGCCAATTCAAGCCTCGCCAAGTCAACACAAGCCAAGCCAAGACCACCGACCGTGTTTACGCACTCCTGCAACACAAGGTTTTCAGTTTATGTGGAGGGACCAGAACAAAAATGAGTGTGATCATCGGTTTCAGCAGTCTCAGAATTAACTGTTGGGCTAGTTATTAATGCATTATAGAGGACAAGAGCGCAAAAGACACGGACAAGTAGAACAGGACAGGACAGGGCAAAGCGCTACTATCAACTGGCGTTTTTTAATTCCCCTCTTTCACATTACAAAAAATGTGAGTTGATAGTAGCCCTTTGTCCTGTTCCTCTACTTGTCCATGTCTTTTGCACTCTTGTCCTCTGTAGTTCAGCAGTCTTTTTCTGCCTGCACATTTTTTAGTTTCTGCTCCAGAGTGGTTTGGTGTTTGTGTGTTGGTGCTTCTGCTTTGTGCCTTGTTTTGCTTGTGGACTGTAAGGCCGATTACCCCTAAGAAAAAGGAACTACCAGACAACCAGCGCCATGCTGCTGCATATCTGCAAAGTTGCCATGTGGATTGCAAACAGAAGGACCTGAGCAGTGAGGATGAGTGCAGTCAAAACATAAACTGACATTAGGACCTGAGCAGTGAGGACGAGTGCAGTCAAAACATACTGATATTTCTTTGATTTCCAATGCCTTTTCACTTCTGCTATGCCCTTGACTGCGGTAAATTTACACGGCCTCAATTCGCATTATAATAACAATCTTTTTTTTTTTTTTGAGGGCATTAAAACCTGCTTTCGCGTTATATTGGTGGTTGCGTTATATTCGTGCAAACACGGTACTTGTTTCACTGTATTTTGTATAGAGAACTGGGAGCGCAAAGAAACTATTTCCAGACATTTTTCTGCTCTGAACTGTCTAGATACGCCTCTACCCAAATCAAGTGAAAATCCTATTTAACCCCTGGCAGCTCAAACATGACGGTGTCAAATTAACTTCAACGGCACTCGGCAAGAGAGCAATGTGATATGGTAGCCTCACGCCTTTCTGGACATGTAAAACTGCCAAAAAATAGTCATCACAATTGTCTTTTCTTTTTCATTCTTTCTTTTTATTGAGTTTGTGAGAAGAAAAATACAAGGGCAAAATGAATAAATCAATTACTTTTTTTTGCACTACAGTCATGTCTCATTAATATGGTCCCCGTTAATATGGACACCCCGCATCATGGGCTACATTTTCGGCGACCGATCCTTTGCCGTGCAATTTTGCCCCGTTAATATGGAAACCCGCAGTCCGGACTATGTGCAGCTACTTTGGAGACGAACTGGGTGAATATAGGCATTTTCATCTCATTAAAAGGGTCCAAAAACTCTACCGAGATATCGGTGAACCCAAAAGTACACCCGGACGTTCGTTGCTGTGCACTGAAACGTGTTTTTGTTTTACCTTTTCCGTAAAATAGGTCATTACTGTTTGCAGTCTCCTGTTGCTTGAGATCGTGTATGACCTCCAACGGAGAACAAAGAAGAATGAACCCTAAAGCAGCTAGGTCACCCCAATGTAGACCTCATCACTCTTTCGGGAACTGGGGAGAAGCTCTGGACCCACAAGGTTAATTTCTCCTATAGACCTTTTCTGTGTACTCTCGTCCCCAGCCACCTAATAGGTGTATCCGGTATGGGCGACGAAAAAATAATCCAACGTTTCAACCTGTAAATAGTAAAAAAATAAAGGGGAGGCAAAACGAGAAAGTGTGACGGTTACGCTTATATCCTAAATGCCTTCTATTGGCGTGGCAAAGGCAAAACAATGTTTTCGCCCATACTGGAAGTGACGACAATTCAAGATGGCGGTGCACTTGCAGAAAAGGTTTATACTCTGTTCCACCGTAATTTCGCAAACGGCGAAGGCTATGGGGGGGGGGGGGGAGATGTCTGGTGCCCACGAAAGAGGGTCCGGAAACGAGTTCCTCCTTTCCCTCTTCTCCAACTGCTTGGGTTGGAGAAAGAGGAACTTCCCTTTATGCTTGTTGATGAGTGTGTTTTTCGACCATGATTTATTATTATGGACGAGTCGCACTACGGGAAATTTTTCTGGGGAATGGAGGCGTCCGTGTTAACGATACACGACTGTACTATCGAGACCGGCCATAACGGAGTCGGTTATAACGAAATAGTGGCTACAGCGAAGCAATCACAATTTCCCATTTCCTTTTGCACTTCGTTATAACCGAAGTCTGTTATAACGAAATAGCGGATATAGCAAAGTGATTTTTGATTCCCGGTGACTTCGTTATAACCAGTCTCGATAGTACGTCTTTCTAGTTTGACAATCTGAAAGGTTGTAACATTTTAATATTAAAAGGGCTCATATATTTGACAAAAATGCAAATGCTAAACAGAAAACAAAATAACACACCTCAGTACAGTAGTCAGAGCACACATACCTCCTCAGCACACCAAAAACTTAAAAACTGCACATACAGAGTGTGCATTAAGATTTTTAATCACACAGGAATTCAGAATCCTTTTCCCAACTTCGTGCTCGGCAAACATTCCATCTTTTCTCCACCGAACTCCCAGCGTAACAAGAGTGTGAATATTGTCGTCCTCACCTGCGAGAGATGCCTCTGCGTCCAGGGGCCTTGCTGCTGCTGCTGCTGCTGTGGGGGCGGAGGGGGCGACGCCCCCTGCCCAGAGGGGGCGGGGCCTCCCTTGGCCATGCGTGCCAGCAGGCCCGGAGAGGCCGTGCCCTGGGCCAGGCCCCCGTAGGCCCCCAGATGGGGCTCGTAGCCGGCACCGCCCCCGTACCCGACTGTGGCCTGTCCCCTGCAAGGGAGGTCGTTGATGTTCACAAAGCTATATCGTGGATTCTGAAATTGGCTTCCTAGGAACACAGGGGATCTCCGAGCAGCCAGAATTTTCGTAACCATCTCTGCCCCTAATTTTATTTTCAGTTTAAGCACTAGTTTAGCAGATCTAAGCCACCCGTCGAAGCACAACTATGAACGAAGCACTCCACAGTATGTGCATTATTGTTTACGGGGTCTGTAGGTGCAATGCCGAGACTGAGAGGGGACCCTCGGCTATTTATCTAGGCTTTATCTAGGTTCGAGAGAGAATGGCCATGGCTTGTCCGTTGTTTAACGCAGTGGTTCTCAACTTCTCAACCACAAATGTTTCAAGTACACCATCTGGATCGGAGGAAGCACCGAGGGGTCCGTGGGCGATTAAATGATCACAGTGGCAAAGGGATAAACAAGAAAAAATATCAAATCTCTGCAAACAAGCTTTGAAGCTCTGAAACAGGAAATAATCAACTTTAATCACTGGGAGCACATGGTTTGGTCTATTTAGCTTTGTGGAACAGCCAGCATTAATAAAAAGACAAAACATTTTATCGCCCCGTTTGACTAACAGTTGAGGGCTTTGGGGACCCTGAAAACGCCTTCAGGGACCCCCATTTGAGAACCTCTGGTGTAACACAATGATGAAAAGATGTGAGATTGTCGACATGGTGTCAAGAAACATGGTGTCAAGAAACGGCGGACATCAACGAGACAGCAATAAATACAAGGCATGTGTACGGCCACCACTGGCAACCAGATGGAGAGCTCTGTTTTTGACCCTTTCAGGTAAAGGGCGACTCTGCTCATTTTACTATATTCCGAAGTCTTAGTGCAGTTAGCATCCCTGAACATTGGTTTAGAGGGCTTATGACAAAACCAAAAGTATGGGCTTAGTGACGATGGCAGCGACATCGCTCTTCTGGCACAATCTATACGGCTGGCTTAGTCATAGAAGTCAGAACCGCTCAATTTTTCGGCAAACAAAATCAAGTGGCCATGCATGAGCACATGCAAGGAGCAAGTCCATAATTACTTACAGCGCGACTGGGACAAGGACAGACAGAGGAGAAACACAGAAACACAGGACAAGCGCTGAACTAGCAACTGATTCTATTGAAAAGAAAAGACATCTGATGCTGCTGCTGCTCGTGCAGGCATGCCCCTCCGTGGCCCTGGCGCTTCTTCTTTCACTCAATGCGAAACCGGCCAAGTTATCCGAGATCCAAAAAGCCAATCTCGCTCTTCATCAAAGTCACTGTGGGCTGGCTCACACACAAGGATCCGGTTTTTGTTATGTGGTATGTCTCCATCATTTCTCGGGGTAGTTTGTGGTTGTGTCGGAACATCACTGTAGTCTTGTTGAACAGGGGTTGGTATCCGCAATCCCGGCAATGCATCGCGAGATGCGTGTGAGCAGTTCCTTTCATAGAACTGTGGTGTTCTCGTAGTCTTGTGTTGAGGCAACGCCCAGTCTGTCTTATGTAGGCACGCCCGCAGGAAAACGGAACCTTGTAGACCACGCCTTCTATGCAGGCGACAAACTGCATTCCGTGTTCGATGCTGCAGCCGCTGTGAGACTTAGGATCGTTATTTCTCGCGCGTTTGTTGACTGCGGAGCACACAGAGCTGAGCTTGTGGCGGGCGGAAAAAACAACATTCCCGTTGTATCTTGAGGCGACTTTCTTGAGTCCGTGGGAAAGGCGGTGGATGTACGGTATGACTAAGGTTTTCTTTTTCTCTCTCTGCTCGAGGTCACGTTGCTCGGTCGCGGGATCTGTTTTAAGGTGCTTCACGATTTTTTCGCAAGCTGAAGAAATGACCGAATTAGGATATCCCGAATCCTTGAGCCGTTGAATTTGGGACATGAAGCTGGAATTCAAATTGTGGATGCATGTGCTTGTTAGAGCAGTCCTCAGACAGGAAAATGCGATGCCTTGTTTGACGAGTTTGGAGTGGGCTGATTGAAAGTTAAGAAGAGCCTTCGCTGCTCTGGGACTGTAACACCAGCAACAAGTCCAGTGGTCACCTCAGAGAGCAGGAGAATATTATGGCGAAGAGAAGACTGCACAAATACAACAAACATTAACTAATGTTGCTTCAGCAGCAGCCAACCTGCTGGAAAATTGTTAAAAAAACTAATGGTAGCACTTCAAATATCGGCCAGCTCTAGACGAAATCCTAGCATTGCTTCGACACAATTTTTTGGTTCTGATTTTAAGCCCCACAAAAGTGACATCAGTCATTTGTTCTGGTTCAGACTTTGAGTGCCGACAAGCCCTTTCGTTCTAAAGGGCTGCGACACAGGAAATCATTTTATGGCTACCGTATGCAGACTGTGGGGCTCACTGATTCTGAGTTATGTGCAAAGTGAAATGTGTCCATGCAACCTCCAATCCACAACTGCCAACTATGGCACAACCAACAGCACCAAGTGGTTGAAACAAAGGTCTAGAAAGGTAGGAATGGCTGCCCGTTCACAAACACAGCCAACATCAACGGCATTTGGTGACCAAAGCACACAACTGGGAAGGTAAGCCGGGCACACATCTCGTAAGAGTTGCCTCTAACCACCGCGTCGACAACCCTTTTTCACCGCAAGTAATGCATCTACGTCAGCGTGCTTGCCTGCGTGCTTCTGCTCCCCTGGGATGGCCCGCGAGTGCGTACACGTCTGGCCGGGGCAGGGAGTAGTCGAGGCCCTCTGGCGGGCCCTTGGGCAGCACTCCAGGGTAGGCTCCACCCCCTCCCCCCAGGGAGAGCTCAGCGGGTGACGCCCCTCCTCCCGGCTGTCCGCCCTCGTCCGCCGACGGATGCTGTTGGAGGGTCCTGCACAAGCATCTCAATGTTGCACTTCTTTCCCAGTGAAGCTCACTGGGAAAGAAGTGCCTCACATGGTCGTTGGTCACGCACTAGAAACGCGCCATGGCGTCGTCAGTCATGCATTAGAAGCGCCTCATGAAGTTGTTAGTCATGCACTCGAGTGCACGACTAACGACACCATGAGGCATTTCTACGAGGAACTGAGTCATCTACATTGAGACCAACGAGATAAGAAACACCGTATCTGTGCAAGTGCAATGTACAGTTTTAGTTTTTCAGAAAAGGCCTCGCCCCACACTCCAAGCGCAGCATGGGCACTTCTGGTACAGTAACATGTCATGTTGCAACGATTGCGCACGTGCTCTAAAATCCCGCCATCTCTATTATATGTTTCTGCGTACAAATTCAGCTGAATAACTATACTCGAGAGAACATGTATTCATTTTTGGCCATTTAAACTTACTAAAACAGAATCAGGAAATATGCTCACAGTTTCTTTACAGCACCACAATCACTTATACCCTCGTATGTACAAACATACCGAACAAACTCGTGCTGGCTGTTCTACACCCATGGTGTCTAGCAAATTATTATTTTGAAATTATCTGACTTTTCCATGTTTTCCCTGACAATTTCAGGTGAAATTCCCTGACCACTGTAGAGGCGGTTAAATATGTAAGACCATTACAACACAAGGCCATTGAGCACTGTGAGGATCGTTTTGCACGGGCTTAATCCAACTTGTATATTCCAAAATATTCAAGTTCGTCCAGTCCAAATTAAACAAGCACTTTCTTGCTGCCGACATCGTCAGTGAAGAGGCCGCTTTCAGAAACACAATGCTCAACCCACATGTCAATAACGAAATAGCAGCGTAGCCGCCAGATGCACACTATCGGATACTTTCAGCTTGGATTGGATTGGGGTCTGCGGCTTTTCCATTTGTTATTAAATCTAGTAGCTCTAACTGGATATAGCCTAGTATTGCGCATTCAATCCCGTACAATCCAAGGCTTGTGCTGGATTTGTCGGCTGTTCCATTTGCATCGGGTAACACACTCGACATCCGGTAAGCAGAGCAAGTGGTCCGCTCTAAGCAGAATTTATTGCCTATTTTTCTAACCCTAAGTCCTCAAGTCTTTGCTCAGGGCACTCGATGGCATTTCCGGCTCATTTTCTCTGACTGGGCTCTCTTTTTGACAATATCCCTGACAGTTCCCCGATTTTTCCCAGTAAATAAAATTTCCCTGACAATTTCTGGTTTTCCCGGTCGCACCCTGTACACCTCTCTGCAGTGAAAATAAACAATATAATGCTCTCCTTAAAGGGACACGGACAGGGTATTTATGTTCATCCAGGTTTTTAGTTGTAGATGACATATGAGAGCCCAACTACCCAGAACACAATTTTCGGCCCGAAATTCTGTTTCTTTCCGCCCAAAGACCGCCGATTGAGAACTGGCCGGTTCGAGTCTCGTGGTCACGGGCCGTTTTCTAAGGTTTAGACATAACCACCAAATTTAATCAAAGTCGTTGGTCATTGAAGGCACACATTCAATATTAAAAATAGAAAAAAATATAAAACCCATTGTTTGCAGCTTCTAAAAAGCTGTAAATACGTTGATTGAAAAAAAAAGTTACACAGAGAACCGGAAGCATTCTGTGCTTTCACTGCGCGTCGTTTAGCATATCGTGGGACCCGCGGGGACGGCGATGGCAGCGGATGGCGGGCATGGGACCTCTACTTCAGAACTGCCGTTCGTGGTAGCGGCGAATCCTGTCTGCTTTTGAGAGAAATTTGGGACCAATCAAAAGAATTGGTATTCATCCCGTACGACACGCCCGACCACCAAGTTGATTAGCAAGAACACGTCGCCGAGCCGTCGCCCCCTTCTCGTGGCTGAAGACATCGGTCTTGCAAACGTCAAGCACAAAGTGTGTACTTCGAGTTAAATATGCACGCGTATGATTTCTTTACTATCCTCCGCGACAACTTTTCTTGGCAATGCAGTGGAAGGTACAGGCCCGCGTCCCCTCTCCCATTTTGAGTGTGCGTGGGCTCTCCTCCTCTCCCCGGAAATGGGGGAGGAGGAGAGCCTGCGTACACTCAAAATGGAAGAGGGGACGCGGGCCTGTACCTTCCACTGCATTGCCAAGAAAAGTTGTCGCAGAGTATAGGTGCGAATGGGGCCAATGCGCGGTGCTTCCCAACTTCAACCCAACTTAAAAAAAAGAAAAAAAAAAAGTGCACGGTTGGGTGTGGTTACGTGACTTTCGCCACTCACTCTCTTTTCTCCACCTCACCAACCTCCGTCCATGGGTTTCAGTTTCGGTTTCGAGCAGTTGCGTTTTTTGGCTTTAATAAAAATATACGTGACTCTGTTGCAAAATATTAATTGGGTAGTCTACCAACACCATAATGAATTGCCTGGCAAAAAAATGAAAAACATTTTTTGGGGGGAGTTAGTGTCCCTTTAAGCTGCCCAGAGGCTTCTTTAGATACCGCCCAACATACAGCAGTGCCTCATTATAACGAAATTGTCCTATTACAGTTGTCTCTTTATTCGAAGTTCAAGGCGGTCTTGACCGAAATGTATGGATTTTGAACCAGATTACTCGAAGCAGATCAGCGGCTGACCACACTTGTTATGAAGGCCGAGGTGCTGAAAGCGTGCAAACCTACGCGGAAGCGCATGGGAGACCCTCGCATTCCCTCCTCCTTTTCACTCGAGGCAAACAGCAAACAGAAAACAAAGCGAACGGGCGAAGGAAGGCAGAGCGCCGCTTCCGATGCGACTCGCCGATGCAGCCAGGGAGTGGCATCTCCGTTCCAATACCAAGCATGGTGCCCGTGGCACGACTCCCGTCAGAATTAAATCGAGAAAGCGAAGGAGTTGGGAGGAAACCATCCCTTCGGGAGCCCATGACACACGCGCCTGGGGCGTACCCGGGGTTGGCTGTGTTCTTACCAGCTTTGGGTAGGTGAGCTAGAAAAACCAGATGCGCAAGCACCCACAATGAACATCGCACGCACGCCTCGTACGACGCTTTAAATCTTTCAGAAAGGTCTGTACTCAGTGTTAACTTGCTTAAGCCACGTTGTCGAGGCTAGCATAACTTCCCCAGTTTTTAAACGCTGCCAAGACTATGTGGGCAAGTGCGTGGCTTCATTTGGCATCTCCTACACACAAGAGCGTGTGCAAAGGAAACAAACGGAAAACAAGGTCACATGCTCTCGCAGCAGTGCAGGGCTGCATCATCATGGGAACTACGCTATCTTTGACAACAAAGCCCCAAACGATGTTGACGATGAGAATAGTAGTGCGTCTAAACTCTTTACACGGTAATGTACTTTCCGAGAAACACCTTTGGGCCCCACAAGAACAACCGGCAAGCAGAGCGTCGACTCACTTGGCCGAGGTGTTGGTGCAGACGACGTACTCGACGTCATTGGTGTAGGGGTTGAGGAAGGCGAAGCTGCTGGTGCGCAGCCAGAGCCACTCGCGGTTTTTGGCCCTGAGCCGGTACATGACCGACATCACCTGGCCCTTCATCTTGAGCACCTGCTCAAAGTTGTCCTTCATGTGGCTCTGGTCCTCCGGGTGGAAGAAGTCAAAGCACGTCTTGCCCAGGAGCTCCTGGGGCTGGTAACCCAGCACCGCTGTCACCCTGGACGAGGTAAACAAACAAGAGTGCACCTTTTAGTATATGTTCTGCAACTCGATTATTTGCACAGCAGATATGCACCATCGATCCATAGAACAATCCTGGAAAGTTGGGTTTCAGAGTGCCTTCTGAATAAGTAGACAAATCATCCCAACTGATCACTTGCCAGCATGTTTCGATGCCAGTGGAATTATCCAAGAGATGAGGCTTTGCGTGCCAACATCCGACTATCTAGAAGTCGTTGTAGAGATGAGGTGTCCTCAGTCATCTTGCAGAGCTTTCAAGCACCCTGTCTTGTAGACAGACAACACTCAATTTTCCCTTTCTAGTTTAGTAGCCACTTAAGCGGTGGTCTCCCTAGTTTTTAGTAGAGATGTATGCCAAGACATGCCCATAACCTTCATTAAAAATCACAGCACTGTGGGTTCACTAATGTAAATACCAAGTGCCGATGCAAGTTTGCATCTTGGTCAGGTGTACCATCCAGAAAACAGCTCCAAAGAGTCACCTGGGATCGACGAAGGTGAACTTGCCGTCCATGGCATGCCGCGAGATGAACTCGGCATTGGAGTTTGACCCGACCAGGTCGCTGGCATTCGGTGCACTGGTCACCTGGAGCCGGCCAATGGCAACCAGGCAGCAGTGGCTGGCACCGTCCTCTGGGTCCAACCGCTCCACTTGGACTCCTAAAAGGCAATATCTAGCTCATTCGATACCCTTCTGTATGCATTTAATAGGACGGATTAATTAAGCTCTTCTTTTAATCAAGACCCAAATACTATCTGCACAGACCTGTTGCTATGCCTATGCACAAAGGCTTTCATAAATTCCGCAGGCCAATTGCCTCATTTTAGGAAATGCAAGGTATATATTTAAAGTGTTCACCTCTAATTATTACTATAAACAAATGCATTATGATGACTGTGGACACTTTAAGCCGCATAAATAAGAGATAGGATAAAATGTCATGCATTTTTCAAGAAGTCGCTTCTTTGCTGGGTCGTTAAGTACTAGGCACCGCTTTCACACAAACGGCCACTCAAGAAAAGAAAGCAAATGAAGACAATTGTCATTTTTATTGCACAAATCCTGCTAACTTCTTCAGAGTACTCTGAGCAACTAACGAAGATGTCAGCTTCCAAACTTTCTATCTGCTGCCTCACAAACGTCACTGGCAGCAGACCATCTTTACGACTCCTCCATTAAACTCGTAAATTTTGGTGGACAATGCCCGCATGTTACACGTCTAAGAAAATTTGCGACGCGCAACATTGCACAACACCCACAAGCATACGCTGCACAAAAAATCTTCTCGCATTGTGTTCGGTAAAACTTTCCCATGTGTAAGTATGTAACATGCATGTCTGCTTCCCTTGCCCTTGCCTACTTGCACTTGTCCATGTCCACCCCTTTTTGTTCGTCCTCTGTGTTTGCACATACAAGTTTACTCATTACCATGAACCAACTAGCCCAACAAGTCTTGCTTCCCTTTTGTCCTCCGGTCGCCATGCATAGTTACCTCTGGCAAAGAAAACAAGGACGGGAAAGGAACAACCCCCCCTCCCAAATATCCTCCAATTGTGCTTCTCCATTATGCCTCGGACCGCTCCCCCATCGGTTCTTTCCTGTCTCTTTGGCAAGATCAAAATCAATCTTTTTCGAACCACCGAGCCTGCCAAGCAGGGCAGCGAAAGGCACGATAGTCGCTGACGGCTTAAGAGAAATGCAGGGCGAAGGCTTATCATGTCTGCACTCCTTGCTTGGTAACTCGCTCTTCGATGTTCCAGTCGGCTAATGCTGCAATCCGATTGGCCATGGGGCAGTAACAAGAGTTCTTGAGGTGTCGGTGACGATAGAGGCACTCACCCGAGGGCGGCCAGTTCTTGATGTAGCCCGTGCAGTGGACGACGGCGTAGGCGGAGCCGTCGGGGGAGGGCCCCAGGGCATTGCGCTGGCGCAGCCTCTGCAACCCCTGCACGTCAGGCTGCACATTCCCCAGCTTCATGCGGCAGATGAACCCTCTCCGGGAACCCATGCACAGTCGCATCGACGACTGGTGGCCTTCCTTCTTGACTGTGCCGGCTGTCAGGGGAAACAAAAAAAAAATCTTTAGGTCATCGGTTTGTGGGGCGGGAGGCACAACGGCCCCGCAAATGCAGAGCAATAGCTCGAGATGTGGAATTACGCACACTCAATTGCCACCACCAGTGCCACAGCTGAGAATTTACTCCTTCCTTTCTGTCATAATGTAGTGTGTCCTTTTTCTTGTTGTGATTCGGTATTGATACTGAAGTAAAATGTGTTTGTTTTGCTTTCTTGTTCTTTACTTACAACAGTGGTTCTCAACCATTTATGTTTTGCAGACCCCTCGCGAATCAGCGGAGATGATGGAGGACCCAGTTGGTGGTGAGGGGAAGGGAAAGGTATAGGTTAATTATGGTAATGATTTACTAAATGGATACAGTTAAACGTGGATATAACGAAATTGATAAAAGTTTGCAATAATTCGTTATATGGAGGATTTCGTTACATGCAGTTTTCGCGGAAAAACTCGTAAAGGACACGTTGAAAGAAAGCGAAAATTAAAAAATCCACGTGGGCAAACTCACCATGTCATTTATTTAGTGAAAAAAAAGTCTGTAAGCTTGCCTTGTGTCTTTCACGCGAGCGAAGGCAGCACGCGGCGCTCAAAAGACACTAAAGCATTTAGAGCGCTGTCGTCGTCCTGGGAGCCGGCAACTAGGTGTAATACATTGATAGCATCTAAGACCTCCCTCGCGGTAGACATCAAAAGCTGCTCGCCTTTGGTTGCAGTTGGACAAGAATATATCTGCAATTGAGGTACAGTCACCGACCGGTTATTCAAACTTCGCAGGGACCGAAAAGCGTCCGAAAGCAGTCCGAAAAATCAGCAGATTGAAAAACTTGCCTTTATTACTTCCAAGTGGGCTTAAAAAAGCTGTAAATAGTGCCTTGTTTCAGGTTACGCCTCCATTTCCGTTCGGCAACTTTCTGTTAGCTTGAGAATCTCTGCCTTCATTTTGTAGCGTTATGGTCAAGTATTTTCTGCGCTTCTTAAAGGACACATGCAAAGGAAAAAAACATTTTTTTTTAGACCGCTTAGATGGAAAAAGGATGTCATAAAACGATTTTACAACGAAGAAACAAAATTTTTAGAGCTATATTTACGGCGCTATACGAATTTGTAGTTGGCGCCCGCGGGAGCCGCCGCTGGTCATGTGGTAGGCCCGCGCGCCGCCGCGCTGCGTCGCCGCCGCACGCTGAGCGTTGTGCGAACGCCGCTTCAACGCGTTTCTCCACGCCGCCGTCGCCGCCGCCGCACAAGTTCGTCTGCTTCGGGGCGCCGCCGCCATCGTCTGACCGGCGCACAGGTCTATCACGTCTGCTTGTGCTTTTTCAGGAGTTTCCTTTGGGCTCTAAAAGTTATTTATCCGTTTTGGTTTTTTGTTATACTTCAAACAAAGATGAATAAGTTACTTTTAGAGGCCATAGGAAGCTTTCGAAAGAGCGCAAGCACCACGTGATGAATAAAGACCAGTCACGTGATAAATACAGACCACTTTTACGCGGTGCCCGCGGGCGCCAACTACAAATTCGTTTTGCGCCGTAAATATAGCTGTAAAAATTTTTTTTCTTCGTTGTAAAATCGTTTTATGGTGTCCTTTTTCCATCTAAGCCGTTTAAAAAAAATGTTTTTTTCCTTTGCATGTGTCCTTTAATGTCACATCGCAGCGGCAAAAGAACAGATGGGGCTATGACGTCCAACCAGCGTTGTGCGAATGAGATGAGAGGCGCAAAACCACGAGCGCAAAATGCCAACTGGCGACGCGAAGAAACGGGAAAAGCAAAATGATAATGATGATAATGATGATGACGTGCAGCTAAATGCAAAAAAGGGCTAGCATAGCGTCACCTAGCGGTAGGACTCAGGAATACTCAAATAGCACCAGTAGCACTGCCAAACCAAGCCAATCCATTTTCAGCCAACATAGAATTCAAAACAACCGCCTCTCTATGGTTTTTTCCGCGGATCGCTTGCAACGATTTTTTCCGAATAATCTAACTTTCGGACTTCAAGTTGTCCGAAACATTGGTCGTGACTTAACACTATTTCTATGGGGTAAGTCACGGTTCCGCCTTTAGGTCCGAAATATCAAACAAGTCCAAATTATCGGAGTCAAAAAAAAAAAAAAAAAAAAAAATGGAGATTGCGGCAAAGCGAGTTGGTTAAATCAAGGTTATCCAGTGCGAGCGCTTCGTTTCATGGAGTTCACAAATACAAGCGCTTCTATGAAGATCGCGTCGGGGAATTGAAAAAGTTCGTTAAATAGAGGATTTCGTTGTATACAGGTTCGTTACATCCAGGTTTAACTGTATAACTAAGGGCTCTGTGAAATAGACTTCTCTCACTGACATACACACGAGAAAACTCATTAGAACATTGCAATGTTTCTTCTCAATCTGAAAAAGACCCCATTTATTGCCGGGAGGCAGGGCTTTGCAGACCCCTAGGATGCCTTCGTGGACCCTAAAAGGTCCATGAACCCACATGTGAGAAGCACTGACCTGCAGAACACTAACTCTTTTTTTCACAACCAAAAGCTTCTACTTTTGCTAATGGTTACTTTTGATTGATTGAGTGATCTACTCCTAGCCATAATAGAGACCGGTAGTATGCGAGATAAAAATCAAACCTTTCTTTGTGATTCTTTTAGAGATAGGAAATGTTTCATTAACGAGACATCTAGTTCTCCTGAAGCCTTTGGCAAGTCAACATTTTTTTACTGTCACTATGGTTCTGCACCAATCATCTGCTAGTACAGTGTTGTCTCGTTAATAAATGACTCCTCCGTTCCCTTAAAAATTGTTCATAATGTGAGTTGTTCATAATGAAAAGACAAAAATGCACGCATTTTCCCAATTCCCAAAAATGGTGTCCATACCAGCAGGGTAACTAGCTCTATTAACAGGTCCGTATTAACAAGACATGACTGTACCAGCATAATGCATTCTAGACTCACTCTTGAGGTCCAGTATGCGTCCTGAGCTGGACGACTCCTGAGTGGAGAGCTGCTCTCGCACCTTGTCCACGTCCTCGGGATGGATAAGGTCGTAGACACAGGCGTTGAACCAGTCAGACTGCGCATACAGGGTCAATTAACAAGCATAATACCATCAATGTTTCCCACAAACTGCTCAGCTAAACAAACTCCAGTGCACGGCCTAAGGAAAATTTCCAAATTACGGAACAGCACAACGCACATGGAGCTTTCCCAAAGTCTGCGTAAGAGAAAAACTAGCAACCAGTGTTTCTTCGGAAGAAAGGTCTTCTCAAGCTCCAGCAAATGATACACTTTTACTTAAAACTAAAACTAATCTGTGGCCCTAGACTTCTCCGCCTAGGGATTTGCAAGCTTATGCGGAGCAGATAGCACATTGTTAATTCCGCAAATATATCAGATCCCTCATGTTTTCTGTCCAAACTACAAGTGTGCACTCCCACAACCGTGCGCATGACATAAAGTAGTAACGTTCCACTGTGCACAAAATGAACACTGACTTCTACATGCCAAACACAATGCAGCAGAGATTGTGTGCTTGCACCAACCCCCAACAACACCATGCAGTGCACCTGCTCCACACCTGACAGAGCTAGGTTCCCATAGTAAAACTAACATGCTTCAGGGGCCTGCGACACTGAGAGGGAAGCATTAAAATGAAGCAGATGCCTCTCTGGCACAGGCATTAGCGACCGTGAAGGCGGGACCAACCTGGGACTGGTTTAGCACAGGGGCCACGGAGTCGGACACGTAGATGATCCGGCCCGTGTCGCAGGACACCACGAACAGGAAGCCGTCTGCAGCCTGGAAGACAAGACAAGCAGTGTCTGAAGGCACTGGGAGAGCTGCTGGCATAATTGCAGCAGCCACCGGATGACAGGTTTGGAAAGAGCATTTTAATGCCAGCTCTCAGTTACAGGTGTAGGGGCATCTCAGCAGGTGCACTGCCATGCACAGAGTGACTACCAGAACTATACATTGTAGAGATGTAATTACAACCCTCGTCATTACATTATCGTTCTCGCCAAACATCCTATTCGTCAAAGCATAAAAATTCTCATCATGCTGGTCGTGCGCACACAAGTTGGCATACATGGGTAAATTACTTTCAAAATGTAATTTAATTACAATTACAATTACTTAGCTCCAAAAGTAGTTTAACTACAATTACAATTACTACTATGCAAAAGTAGTTCATTGCAATTACAAATTACTTTTTAAAAGTAATGCAATTACTTTACAATTACTTATTTCTGAGAGTTACCCCCCACAATGGGCCATATAACTGTAAACGAGTTATATGGCCGCTGTATAAATGTCACGCATTGTACTTTCCTTTTATGAAATTTGTTAAATGGACTATAGAACTTAATAGTTTGGAGTAATGAACTCCTGCGTTCATATATTCTCAAAACATAAAAGATGGCGACAAAATTCACAGGTATGAGGTGAATCTCCTTAGAGCTTATGCAAATGGTATCCAAGTCAAACCAAGAAAAAATAAACTTAAAAATAATACAAGGAAACAAATATGCGACAGTACTGGTATCAGAAAACTCACGTAAAAATGGCTAATAAGAGAAACTTGTAAACGACGTCAAACATTTAAAGGATACGACAACTTATGAAAACATTGCAGCCACGATGATTCGCTGCCTCTCCCTGTCTGTGGACTTGTAACATGCCGGATGTGGGTAACCGTAGCACACAAACTGTGGTTCGTGTGCTACGGCCAGGGATTCTGGGTTAATTCAGTGCACGGTAACACCCAAAAAGCTCCCGAGATAAATAAAAAATTTAGGATCGTCATGTAGCTAATCATTAGGATAGCAATGATTGTATCGATGTTATGCGTCTCATAAAGAAGACCGATTTGAATTTAGCATGGCAAGAACAACCTCGAAAAATTCATGATACACTGCAAACGACTTTATTTTCGCGAATTTCGCGAATCACCTACAATTCGCGAAAAAAAATGTAAACACATTGGAATCTATATCGCGATCGCACCGCGTCGCGAAAATTAGAATCCGCGAATTATTCCAAAACTGCGGCCTCTTGGACGCCTCGATTTCACGATTTACTTGAGCGTGTTTCAGCTGGAAGATATAGACGAGCTATTATTATTATTTTTTTTATAACTGTAAGTATTATTCAAAGTAACAAGGAAGTTGCCTACCTGCAAATGTTTCCGCAAATTGGAGGTCGCCTTTCGGTTTATTGAATTTGTTTTCAGAAACGGTCCGGAGAGTTTGCTCCTCACGATTATAGTTTTTTACATTTGTGCTAATCTGTTTACAGAATTTTTCGCAACAAGGCCCCGGCAGCCTTTCCTTTTCCATTGTAGATAAGACTGTTGCAGCTTCTCAATGCAAAGCAGCACTGCGCGCCTCGGGGCGGTTCCACAGGCCAAGACGAGAGGACAACGCGTGGAGGGTCACGATAGAGGTGTAAAAACAAAGTGCAAGCCAAGCCCTTTATAAAAAAAGAAGCCTTCAACGAACAACAAATGCAAAAACAAGCTCCCTACAGCTAAAGCCGCGGTTTGTAAGTTTTGGAATCTCGTCCAATCAGGCTGACAAACGGTTGAAAGGGTTAGGAAGAGCGAACACTAAATAATGAAGATTTATACAAAAAGGTAGACGAGGATTGGGAGAAGGAAGAGCAGTGTAGCAAGAACAGTTGGAAGTAAGGCAGGGTGAGTCGTGTTAATGAGACCTGCTGCTTCTTTGCTTCTTCGCCTCGATGTTAGAGTAGCACGACTTACTGTTAGTGGTATCAACATAAGAGATAGAGGAGAAGGACGTGAAAAACTCATAAAGAAAAGAGAATAATTTCATGAACAAAAAAGTTCCAAACTTCACTGAAATATGTAAGCGAATATGCTAGCCGCGAAGACGCGTAAGGAGAACCTCGAACCTCCCCGCCTCGACCGGATGATGTGATCGGAGCCAACCAGCTCGACTTCGACCTCCGATGCCCCCGTGTGGGAATGAGAAATAAGAAAGACCCCTAGAAGCAGGAGCAACAGGAAGCAAACGAGACGAAGAGTCAGATTCAACTACGACAGGAACGAAAACGGACGCGAATGTAGCCTCATTTATCAAATTATTTTTCAAATTCTTCATTAAATCGTTTTGCAGTCTACAAAATCCTTCATTCCGTTCTATCCCAGCCTCTCTTTCCCATCGCTCTTTTCCATTTTTTTTTAGCAGGTTGGGAGACACCCTCTCCCCTGTCGCTTTGGCTGTGTTGTCGTCTCCGTGGCCAGGGGGGAAAAGCGCCGCCGCCACAAAATCTTGCAAAAGTAATTGTAATTGTGCCTGAAATTTAGCAATTACTGATGCTAGAAAGTAATTAAATTACAATTACAATTCCTTTTAGCCAAAAGTAATTATTACAATTACAAATTACCAGGAAAAGTAATTAAATTACAGTAATTTAATTACTGTAATTGAATTACTACCCAAGTATGCAAGTTGGTGCCTGGACAATGGCGGTTGGAATTAAATGCCTTTCCCTTAGCCAGCCCGCTCCATTTAATCTTCCTCATGATCTTCATTAATGTTTCGCATCATCTTGGCAAAATCCCCTAAATAAACGGTAGAGGATTTGTTTCCCAGACAGTAAAATGACAAAACTTTGTCCAATTATTTTCGAACTTTGTACGACCGTTGATCAAACTTCAAAGATTAATTTTGACAATACAATGTTCGGAATTGTCAATAGCAACAATAGTAACGAATTAGACTTCAATGGCACGATTGCTCGAGTGCTGAAATTGATTTCAGTTCGGTACAGAGCGTTCACTGATGTTTGACTAGGCTTGGAAGCATACTGACAATTCAATTCATTCTCATAAGTTTCCCCTTCCTAATTCTCGCTATGCTTTGATCAAATTTCCAGATGATTCCATTATGTTAGAGTCTTCATAAGTTTCACTAGACTCCATTTAGTTACCGTATTTATTCGAATATAAGGCGGTCACGATTATAAGGCGAGGGGGCAGTTGAAGGAACCAAGAAAAAGAAAAAAAATCGTCATATTGCTATACTGAGCTTCGAATATAAGGCGGGGTATGACTTTGCGGCTACGGATTTTGGAAAAAACCACGCCTTATATTCGAATAAATACGGTACTAGACAACAAAATATGCCTACAGATTAATGCGTTACAAATAAATTCCCAACACGTGTACCAGACGATCCCAGCATGCTGGAAAAGGTCATTTACTAAGATGGACAATTGGGCGGGTTGGTGTGAGTTCATAATGAAATGCAGCGTGACTAAGACAAGGACAGAGAGACGAGAAAACAAAAGAAAAGCACCGACTAGCAACTGATTCTAATGAAACAAAAAAAAAAACAACATGATGCTGCTGCTCGTGAAGGCACATGTCCCTCCATGTGGAGTGAAAGAAGTAGTGCTCAAGACCACGGGGGGACACATGCCCGCATGAGCAGCAACATCATGTGTATTTTTTTCGTTTCATTAGAATAAGTTGCTGTCAGCACTTGTCTTATTTTCTCGTCTCTGTGTTTTTGTCTTAGTCACACTGCATTTCATTAGGAAAAGGTCATTTTAGCGATAACGTTCCAAGCCAACAAAGGATCCATATATCTTGGGCATCCAGCAAAAAACTGAGGATTAATTTACACCACTCCGGGACCTTTAACTTAAAACTGAAATCTCAGTTTGCACGGCATCTACGCTGTAATAAGCCTAGGTGGGACTGTGGTCACCGAGAACAATTTGAAACTGCAAATTAAATCCCTATAACCTGGTAACAAAGGTCGCACTGAGGTTCCCTAAAAAAAAAGCTTAAGCAAAGAGAAGCCCAATGTTAGGCAGCGTCCCACTTACCTCCAGAATCAGGTGCTTCAACTCCTGGTCTGTGAGAAAAGAAGGCTTGTAGGTTCCGTCGCTGCTTGTATTGCCAGTTCCTGTCAGGAGAAGACGTGGGAGACGGGAGTTACAGCTAGGTCCAACAGTCCAACACAGGGGCGCCTGAGTTGGAGAGCTTGTGCCGTACTTATATTATCAAATGCGGCAAACATCTTTTTTTTTTTCTTTCAGACTGTTCTTTTTTGAATAACAGATAAAAAAAAACATAAGATGTAACACTGAAACTGAAAAGAAATTCAACACTCTATTTAATTATTTCATCTGGTAAACAAATGGAGAACAAACACTAAGTCCTTGTTTTTATTTTGTTCCAATCTTGTGCACACTATTTGTTTTCCATGTGGTATGTCTATAACAATGATCCCAGCATCCCCTCTTCGTCAAGGGAAGATGCGGGTCGAAAAACAAAAAAATGCTGTTTTGTATTTTAGGATGTTTTATGATGTTTAAATCTTCATATCCAAAGTATAAAAAAATAAGGACCTATGATTTAAAGAACTTCCGGTGACCCAAAAAGGCAGATATATGAGCCGTTTTCATGAACACATTTTTTCAAACTGTGGCGTCCCCCACCATCACATTTATATTGAGAGGAGGCCTAGCCTTCTCCTCTTTGTCATGTTTTTGTAGCTTAAAGTTTTACCTAAAATTAATTTTAAAAAAAATGAAAGACCTTTACAATTTTTTGTAATGCTGAATTAGAGTGCAGCTCCTGAGGAGAAGGGGGGGAGGGTATGCCCCTTCTCCCCCTCCTCCTCTCCTGCTCCCCTCCCATTTAGCGACGGGGAAACTGAATTGGTGTTGAGGTCAGATGACATCAATTTCTCTGCTAAATTTAGCCGAAAAGCTTTTCCGCTAAATTTAATGTGGCACCCACGAGGGTAATATATTCCCGCAAAATTCGGCGGGAAAATTTTCTGCTAAATTTAGCAGAACAATTGCCCCACTAACATTTAGCAGAAAAATTTCCATACTAAATTTAGCAGAAAAATTCCCGACAAATTTAGCTGGAAAATTTGACCCTCGAAACGTCACACGTGACGTCATTATGGGGAATGTCCCATTATGTAAAGAGCGGTTACGCCAACACCGACGCCAATGCCGCTCAACCCAGAAACGGGTGCCTAAGTTGTTACGCTCTTAAAAAATTATTTTTCTCGCCATGAAAGAGCGTTGCTTACATCTACAATAATATTCTAATGAGCTTTTTTTTCTTATTCTCTTTTTAAAGTATGGGACACCTTCACATTCTGTGCACCAGAATTTCGGAGCTTAAAATTTTGCCATCACGACCAATTTTGACATGCATATCCTTTAAAAATTAGAATGCATATAATAATGTTAAAGTCTGAAAATATATCTCCAACCAAAAAATGAAAAGCAACCCGACGTTTCAAAACCAACACGGTTTCTTCTTCAGGGGTGACTGAAGGCGCGCGGACACAGCAGCAGCTCCCAACCTCTTCGTCTTCAAAAAAGGAAAGAAAAGAAAGAAAGAGAAAAGAAAAAATTAAAAAAGAGAAGATAGGAAATCGGAAAAATTGTAAAATAACTTGTTAGTTATGAAGATGGTCATCTCTTCAGCTTTTCCGTCAGGTCACGGAGGCCATGTGCGTACACAGAGGGCAGAGCGCCCAGCGACCTGTTTAGGTTTCCTGGGGTGTGCTGGATGTGCCACGATTCCAAGAAAAGTCTTCTTCGAAAATTGGGCTCTGTGTCCACCACGTGCGCATTCGCGAAGTCAATGCGATGGTCTAGGGTATCGCAATGTTCGGCGATGGCGCTGCGCTCACTGTCAAACTTCCGCACGTCGTTCTTGTGTTGGCGGATACGCTCGGGAAAGTTCTTTGTCTCGCCGATGTAGGTTGCAGGGCACTCTGCGCAAGGAATGGTGTAAACCACGCCCTGTGCTTTTTCCTTTGGTGGACGGTCTTTCGGTCTTGGCATAAACCTTCCCAGTGTGGACGTGGGCTTGTGGGCCACCAGAATACCTTGCTTTCCCAGTACTCGTGCGAGCGCTTCGCTGGTTCCCTTTACGTAGGGAACGCTTATGCGCGCGACTCGATGGGGCTGTCGTTCTACTGGCATCTGGTTTTGTCTGGCGAGACCTTGCCGTCGGGCGATGCGCTCAATAAAGCTGCTAGAGTACCCATTTTTCTTTAGGTCTTCAATTATGGTCTTCTTCTCCTTCTTTCTATCGGTTTCCGACGAGCAGATAGTCGTTGCCCTATGCAGCAGGGTCGAAACCACTGAGGCCTTATGACTCGTTGGATGGTTGGAGACAAAATCGAGGTAGCGTCCGGTGTGTGTTGGTTTTCGGCACACCGCAAACGTCAGATCTTGTCCTCGTCGGTTCACCAGCACATCAAGGAACGGCAAGGTGCCATCCGTCTCATATTCTACGGTGAATTTAATGGCCGGCTCGATAGAGTTGAGGTGCGCCAAAAAATTATTCACGTCCCGTTCCTTGAGAATGCAGAAGCAATCGTCTACATACTCTATCGAGCCGGCCATTAAATTCACCGTAGAATATGAGACGGATGGCACCTTGCCGTTCCTTGATGTGCTGGTGAACCGACGAGGACAAGATCTGACGTTTGCGGTGTGCCGAAAACCAACACACACCGGACGCTACCTCGATTTTGTCTCCAACCATCCAACGAGTCATAAGGCCTCAGTGGTTTCGACCCTGCTGCGTAGGGCAACGACTATCTGCTCGTCGGAAACCGATAGAAAGAAGGAGAAGAAGACCATAATTGAAGACCTAAAGAAAAATGGGTACTCTAGCAGCTTTATTGAGCGCATCGCCCGACGGCAAGGTCTCGCCAGACAAAACCAGATGCCAGTAGAACGACAGCCCCATCGAGTCGCGCGCATAAGCGTTCCCTACGTAAAGGGAACCAGCGAAGCGCTCGCACGAGTACTGGGAAAGCAAGGTATTCTGGTGGCCCACAAGCCCACGTCCACACTGGGAAGGTTTATGCCAAGACCGAAAGACCGTCCACCAAAGGAAAAAGCACAGGGCGTGGTTTACACCATTCCTTGCGCAGAGTGCCCTGCAACCTACATCGGCGAGACAAAGAACTTTCCCGAGCGTATCCGCCAACACAAGAACGACGTGCGGAAGTTTGACAGAGAGCGCAGCGCCATCGCCGAACATTGCGATACCCTAGACCATCGCATTGACTTCGCGAACGCGCACGTGGTGGACACAGAGCCCAATTTTCGAAGAAGACTTTTCTTGGAATCGTGGCACATCCAGCACACCCCAGGAAACCTAAACAGGTCGCTGGGCGCTCTGCCCTCTGTGTACGCACATGGCCTCCGCGACCTGACGGAAAAGCTGAAGAGATGACCATCTTCATAACTAACAAGTTATTTTACAATTTTTCCGATTTCCTATCTTCTCTTTTTTAATTTTTTCTTTTCTCTTTCTTTCTTTTCTTTCCTTTTTTGAAGACGAAGAGGTTGGGAGCTGCTGCTGTGTCCGCGCGCCTTCAGTCACCCCTGAAGCAGAAACCGTGTTGGTTTTGAAACGTCGGGTTGCTTTTCATTTTTTGGTTGGAGATATATTTTCTGACTTTAACTCTCACCCAACCAGGCAGATATCTGTCCAATATGTTTACTTTCCATATAATAATGTCTATGAAAACATAAAGAAACTTTTGTTAGTCCTTGAAAAAGGTGTTTTTGCAATTTCCAAGTTTTTTTTATGTAAAAGAGGTCTTGCACACATTATTTCTGTTGTTAATTAAGCTCAGTGGTTTAAAGGGAGTGACTTAGCCAATCCTACTAGGCACTTTTAAGTGTGTTGCCGGGCTCAACACCTTTCCAAGAACATGGCTTTTTGCACATATGCATGAAACCCAGAAGATAAAAAAACAAGCTATATCAAAACTAACACCAGATTTATAAAAATGAGATCAAGCACTATAAAAAGTGAAAATTTCATTCAGGTATCACAAACACTAAAAAGCTTGAAAAAAAAAAAAAGAATTATAGCTGCTTGAATAGGTTACAAGAGTTACAAAATGTGTTTTCTTTGAAACATTTTTTTTTTTCTTTTTTAGATGTATGTATAAATGTATGTATGTATCAGTGTGTCGAACCGAAAAAAATACGGGTTCGGTTATGGTTCAGGTTCAGGTAAATTTATTTTGTTCCGGATCAGTTCCGGTTCGATTAATTCGATCCGCAAACCGGTTCGGGGCGCTGAACCGGTTCGCGAACCGGTTTGGAAATTATAAATGACAAATTGCATCAAAATAAATTACAAATAAAACATCTGAATTCAGCACATAGGAAACGGGATACATCGTAGTGTAAGGCTCAGGGATTTCTACCAGGAATGGTTTCTTTATGTGCACTCAAAGATTACCTCACCGACGTTTACGCATTCGGACTTCATCTAATTGGGTCCGACGCAGTAGCTGTAAAATCCGCGACCTCCTTACAAACCCACTTACAAGTAGAACTCGCTAACTATCCCGCCACCTCGGCGTGTAAGCAATTGAAGGAACAGTGGGGAGAAAATACAGCTTTCTTTATTTGAACTAGCCTTCGGTAACTCAAATTAGACCCTTAAAGAAGTTTTCATTAAACAAGATACGGAATATGAAAAACACTTCACCGAACGCAACGCCAAAAGGACGTAATAGGATAAATATTAAAATAGAAGAGTTCGCTGTCTCACAAATATGTTAGCTTCTAAGTGCCTATACGAAACCGGATGCATTATTATCAAACTCCACAGCCTTTTCTTTTCTCATTCCGATGGAAGCAAGCTTCAAGAACTCGCGCGTTCTAGAAACGTGTTATGAAATGAGCACACAGCAGCATTTAGGATTTACGAGATTGTAGGAAAATGAACCCCCGTGACGCAATTTTTTTTTTTTTTGCACAGCTTTCCAATTCTTTTTCTTCCGTGCAAGCCGCGACCAGCGCAATACTGGTTCCTATGTCAAGATTCATGGATGCAGCGTTTGTCAAGATTCATGGATGCAGCGTTTATATTCCTAAGACTGAGTGGAGAAGAAAA